ACCCCACGCCGTTAGTGATTAAAGACTATTTATTTAATAAAAAGGAGGGTTTCCTATCCAATTTTAGTCGCTCGCCCCCCAAGGCCTTTTGCGGCACGCGGAGCATTTGGGTGTAACGCCCCTAGCAGCACGATATTGTCAGGGACTCAGGACTCGGGACCCTGGGGAAGAGGATAAGGCGGCGGATAATAATTTACTTCCATTTCTCTTTCTCGTCATTTAATACTATGAACTGTTGATACTTCTTTCACTACAGTGGATTCATTGAAGTGGAGCATAGAGAGGGCCTACGAGAGGAGAAAATCAAAGTCTTGGGCTTATGGGCCAGTCTAATGAAACTACATGACAGAGCACCATTACAAGGATTAACAACGATCGCTTGCAGGTCTAATTTGACTATTGACAAAGAAGATAAGTGATTAATCATAGAGTATTTTTCAACCACTCGAGCAAGTTGACGAACAAAACAATTTTATGGCATGAAGCCTAGAGACAGGCCTATCCAGACACCAACTTCAAGCTACACGTTTGCCATTAATGAGAATAAAGGTATATGAAGGGACGTAAAAGTTGTCAGACTTAGCGTTCGGGAAGCAACTAGCCTTGAGCAAGTGACACATCACCTCCACACGTCGATCAAATGGTGAAGAAGTAGCCAACAAGTCGTTTCTACACTTAATGTAATGCTAGAGCGGTGAAGTACTAGTCCATGGCTGTTGGGGCTCACTAAGGGCTCATCCATCTTTGAAGTGATCAGACACACATGAATAAACTAACATCACACTGTTGTAGAGCACTTTTTTAATTCATATCAACATATACTGATCATACGTAGTTCAATTTTTAAGATGAACTACTTAAACTTGGTTTATCTATCACTTAATCTTTTATCTCGAGCCCCATCAATGATTGACCATATTGACCTCCTAATTTTGAGCGTTAACAACATTATCACATGAAATTCTTTTGCACAATGCATTATTAAATAGAGAATTCCACATAACGACGAATCCGTTTCATGTAAGTCTTTCTCCTAAAAGAGACCATGGGATGTGAACTTGACATTCCTCAAGATTAAACAAAAGCTCCACCGGAACCCTTGCCTTGACGGTAAGGTCAAGAGGACACTGCAAAGAAAAACCACGGGATAGCCAACTCCCAACCAAGTACCTAGCAGAGTCAATTCCATAGAGAGTAGGAAAGGGTTGGAAAGCACAACTGTTTGCTACATCTGGAAAGAGCCTCTAGAGATTGACTTGGACTCATCTCGGAAATTGAAGAGCTCTATGAATTCAAAGTTTGAATCAACTTTTTGTTGGACAATACACCTTTTTAGCATCTTTGAGATAAAATCTTCCACACTCAAAATAGATAGCTCTTCTATTTTTAACCATTCACTGACACTTATTTATAAATTAAATTTTTTTTAACCTTGTTGTCACATTTCAAACGATAATTAAGACCATAAAAAAATCACACATTTTTTAAGTGAAGAATATCTGACTTCCTTTGAGGTCTTGAGTGCCACAATTAGAAGTTCCGAGGATATTTTGGGACGTTTTGATATAGGCGTCTGGTTTTTTTAATTTTTTGGACTAAGCATACACTCATTTTGAAAATTTGATCAAACATTTTTCTAAAGTTTTGGTTATTAATTTTAGTTTTCACGTAAGTTCAATTTTGTTTAGAATTTTAGTTTTTCACGACTTTTCCTGGACATTTTGTTTTTTTTTCTTCCTCTTATCCCTATATTTATGCATTTATTATCCATCTCTATGCATTTTTTTATTTTGTTTAGAATTTAAGTTTTTCACGACTTTTCCTAGACATTTTGTTTTTTTTTTCTTCCTCTTATCCCTATATTTATGCATTTATTATCCATCTCTATGCATTTTTTTATTGTTTGTTATAATTTTACCTTTTTTTTTTGTGAATATAGTAGAATATTTATAAATAAATAAAAAATTGTCAGATTTTATTATTTAGAAGACCCAACACATAATAAAGATTTGTTTGATTATATAGCTACGTCTAGTTTCCTATAATATGGACACATCTAGTTTTATAGTGGATTTGATTTTTTATATTTTTCAGTACATTTGGAATGTAAATGTACCAAAAGGGTTATTTGATAGAGACATTTAGTTTTGTGGTACATTTGTGATTTTTTGTTCATTTGGTCTTTTGGTACATTCGGAATCTAAACGTACCAAAAGGGTTACCTGACAATAGACACATTTGGTTTTATGGTACATTTGAAATTTTGGTACATTTGGTTTCTCTGTATATTTGAAATCTAAACATACAAAAGGGTTACATAACAATGGGTATATTTGGTATTATGGTACATTTAAATTTTTGGCACATTTGGTTTTATGGTACATCTAAACATACCAAAAGTCGATACTTTTGTTCTCAAATGTACCATAAGTTTTAAGTATATTTTTAATATATCTATACGTGAAAAAATATATATTGAAGACTTTTATTGAGACATTTTTAATAGAAAGAGATTTTTTTTAAAAAAAAATATTGATAATAAGGTAATGAGGAATTAGTTAATTAATTTTTTATTTTATTTTATTAAAAAAATTGTTGGAAATGTGCCCTAAAACCAATTATATGATGATACTTTACGGACATTTCAAACTAATGTAGTTTAAATGTAAAGGGCAAAGATTATTGTTTGAGCCGTCTCATATAAATGTTATATGCTTAAACGATAAGTCCAAGGAATATGTGATTGGAAGAATGCGATCTAAAGAAGTTAGATTCATGAGACCATTCTTTCGTTGACACATCCTAAACGTTCCTGATCATAGGATTGTCAATTGGGCATTGACAATCCGTTAAGATCAATACGTGCTATGTCTTCTCTCAGGGAGAGTGACTAGTCTCGAGTCATTGGTGTGTGTGACATCAAGACAAGTACGTAGGTGCTCAATAGAGAATGAGTTCACTGAACACGATCAACGAGGAGTTCTCATATTCATGTCACATGAGAACTCATGGTTGGGATAATGCAAAGTAGTCTTTTGACCTGAGGCATCACAGTTGTCTTGTGGTTAGGTCCTTAATCTTTGATTATGTCAAAGTCACTCCATCAGGAGGGTGTCCATGGCATCGTTGGGGTTAAGCCACTTAGCCATGGAGGCAAGTGAATGCGCAACAAGGGATCTCTAACCTTCAAACTGTTTGAGGGAGAATACTCTATGATATGATTAAGAATCTTTGACCAAAGTATGAATGAGATTTAGGAATATGTTCCAAATCACATTCAAGGTAATCATATAAGCACAAGACTCACATTGGATAGTAGACATGAATTAACTATCAAACAAAACAATGTGGTCAAGAGTATTGTATTAGAGAAAGACCGTATTGCATTTGTAATCTTAAAACTGAATAGGTTCTCCACCTCTTCTGATTAGCTTGGGTAACCATGACATGCTGCTAGGCGTCAACCATGGTTTGTGGAAGCCCTAAAAGTGTATTATCACTAACGGGAGAATTGAAAGTAAGTTTCAATTCACAATCGATTAGAAAGAGTTTTAATCGCCCACTGCCTCGCTAAAAGGAACCTAATGGATCGTTCACCGAGTAAGGTAGAGTTTGAAGAAACAACGGAGATGAGTAAGAATAATTAAATGGTTTAATTATTTATCTAAGGCTAGGATTAATTAATATGTTAATTAATCAAACGAATAAGTTCGTTAAAGACCTCAGGTTAGTTTTGGGCCGCAAAGCCCAATGGGATTTGAATGTCAAGCCCATTAACTCAAGTTGTATGACAACTTGAATAAACAAAGGGCTTGAAAGCCCAATAAACCCTATAGGCTTGCCATGTTAGAAGAATAGGGCTTTTGCTCCATTAGGTCACTTATTTGAAGGGACTATATAAAGGACTTTATAGCCTAAAATTTACATGTGGTAATTTTTGGGGAAAGGATGAGAACACAAGCTCTCCTTTCTCTCTAAAATTTAGGCCACCTTGGAGGGATCATCTAGCAATCAAACTCCTCCAAGGTCACTCATTTCTTCTTCATTATGCCTTGGTGATGAATCATTAGAGGTTCTCAATTTTGGGAACTTGGAGAAACCTTTTCATCCATCCAAATCCATGGATCTAAGATGCAAGGAATGAAGGCCCTCTCTTTGGGTGATTAGCCTTTGCTTATGCAAAGAGGAATCTACAAAGGTATTGATTTCTCAACTCACTTTGTTTTGAGTTGAGTCTTGGTTCACCTATCTACTAGGCTTTGAATTTCATGGGTAAATGTTTTGTTTTAAGTGCATACAAGCATGATTCCGCCTTTAATTGTTAATTGCATGCTATTGATGTTGCTTAAATGAACATGTTTTTCACAAATCTTCCTTCAAAAATGTCATTTAATGCATGGAACGGGATTGACGAAATTAAATTCCTATATTATAGGCAATTAGTTGCTAACCTACCTTATACCTCTATATAAAAGCATTTAAATAATTAATGACATGGAAATTAAACAAGTAGAAAATTATTGAGGTGACAATTGATCAAAATACCTTAATCAAATCTTTAAAAATGATGAATGTTTAATTTAACAACTATATAAAAGATGTAAGACATTCTAATTTTATCAGATATTTTTATTTGCTGAATTAGAGATGTACTCACTGTCCTTTTCCCTATAACATGAGGCCACCTGGTCCACCTCTAAGTTATGGTAAGGGTGTTTTAGTCACCTCAAGTTTTTTTTTTTCTTTTTTCAGTTCTCCAATTTTTAACAAGTTTTCTCAGGAAAAAGAAAAAGAAAAAGGAAAAGGAATAAGAGAATTTCGAAACGAATTTTATTATTATGAGGCGAAAATGAATGGGAGGAGGGTTGAGACACGAACAAGAGAGAAGAAGAAGAAAAGAAAGCCCTCACTAAAATCCAAAATATTATAACTATTACCGAATATTCCTCTCTGCCCTCCTCCTCCTCCGCCGCCTCCTCCTCCTCCTCCTCTTTTATTCTGGAAACCAATCAGGTTAGATCTGAAGCTCTGAAGGCCGCGATGGTGATGGTGGTGAGCGAGCGACCACTGAAAAGGATGAAGAGGCGAATCACGGCGGATCTCAATGACTTCTTCACGTTCCCGTCGGCGTCGCCCAACCGCCGCGTGGGGCCCTTCAGGAGCAGCGTCATGGATTTCATCTCTAAGCACGCGTTGCTGCCTCCGCCCTCTTCCCTCTCCCCTCACCTCATGACGTGGCAGATCCTCTTCAGGGCCGGGGATGACGATCCGTCATCATCCCCAGCCGACGCTGCCGTCGTCTGTCTCGACATCGTGGAGGAGGACGTCGCCAGATCTAGATCCGTCTATTGTGATCACTGCCGAGTCGTTGGTGAGTTCACTCACCCACTCATTTCTCCAACTCGTTACTTTTTCTTTTATTTTTCTTGTAAATTCCGTTTTAAATTATCCTAGTAATCTCGCGAGTTGAAACATTCTTTAGTGCTCGAAGCTTTTTACTTTATTGTCATTGAACTTATGTATCGTGAGAAAACGGACGAGAAGATAATACCTACGGAAGGCGACTTACGTGGTCCCTCATCCCTGGCTGGACAAATGAGTCACACCAACTTTGTCTGATTCGTCACAGCTACCCTACTCGGAGGAGAATGACTTATATGGGACGGGTTCACCTCCACCGTGGCATCCCGGGCTAATGATACAAGGCTGTGTGGAGAGTCTTACACGTACTAGTGGCCGGGGGCGGTGAACTTGTTCCATATATGCCCTCTGCAATGTAAAGTCTTTTACTTGGGGATTTAATGCCATCAAATTATCGAGCCTCAATGCTTTTTAACAAGTAAAACAACGTGATTTTTCATGTATTTACCTTTTCATGAAGCTCGTCTGGTCACGGCATACACATACGTTGAATCGATTACTGAACCTAATACGAAAGCCTAAGAGAGGGTTAATGATGTATAGGACATGCCACAATATTGTGATATGAATGTCAAGATCATTCACGTAACGGTCTCTTGTAAACTCTAGTGAATTAAGTGCTGAGTTCTTCATATTTTGAAGTGACTAGGGTGTCATTTTAGAAGGCGGTTGAATAATGTTTTACTCTAGTGGATTTTGAGCACACTTCGAAGTTATCAACTGTATATTTTTCTGTTACTTGTGCTGGCTGCAAAGAAATTCATGACCAAGAAGTAATGACCAACCCCATTTTCAAATATTCAACCTTTTACAACCTGCCATGAAACTCAATTCAGAGCCTTTTGTGGTACTTTATTGTTCCGTTTATTTTGTACGACTGAAGCAGGGAATTGACCTTATGCACTCTAGTTTATGGTTAGGGATCATGGGCCCTTGATATTGTAATCATCTTAGGGTTTTGTTAGAATAGAACTACTTGTTTGAATGTTTTGCTAAAATGTTACCAACCAACAATGGTCATCGTAGGTGAGTTCTGACCTTTTATATTCCTTTTCAAACATTTAGGATGGAGTGGTCATCCAGTTTGCGGGAAACGTTATCATTTTATTATTAAGGCTGATGGTAATTCCATTGGTGGATATCACAAGCCTTGTATGTGCTGTGGAGATGTTGTGCATATCTACGAATCCAAGTGAGGACTTAAATACTTTTATCTGTATATGTTTATTTTAATGCACTTAACATTTATCCCTTCAAGGCTGGCCCTGGTCATTCTTATCATATTATTGTTCCTTCTGCATTTTTTTTGTACTTAGGTCGACCTTTTGTTGTCTGGGTATACATATAGATTTATTGAGGCACTATCTTTTAAATTATTTTATGAAGCAATTCAAAATTATTGTTTATGTGTAAGGGAAATATTTTTAATTGTGTTTTTGGTGTATTATATTCCTTTAGATTTTGGAGTTGTATGTGCTACAAGTAACAAATTACAATCTCAACTTTTGTGGCGCATACAATATAAAAAAATTAAAATTTGTAAAAAATTGTTTATTCTTTTGGTGTCGTCGTATTCTTTTTGAACTGTCAGAGTTGAAATATTAAGAGGTTGCAAGTGTAAGATTGTGCCCCTTGAACGGGACTGATTCCTCTGGAACTTTTAGGTTTGCATAATTTGTGCAATTGGTTGGATCAGATTACTGAATGATTCACACAAGAATTCGTGCTAATTTCCTACCTTGTGACTACCATTGATAGGGTTGTGATTTTACATGGTGGTTGATGTGTCTTTGTTATAGGTGCAAATCTTGCAATCTTGATGCAAGTACAAAAGATTTTGAAGACTGGGTTTATAACCAGTTAGAGAACACAACTCATCTTCTGCATGGAGTAGTCCATTCGAATGGTTTTGGACACCTTCTTAGGGTCAATGGAAGGGAAGGTGGCTCAAGAGTTCTTTCAGGATGTCATATAATGGACTTTTGGGACCGGCTCTGTAAATTACTAGGAGTCAGGTTAGGCTTTTTTTTTTTTTTTTTTTTTTTTCTTTTTTTTTTTCCCCTTTTTTTTTTTTTCCCTTTAAGCACTACCGAGGGCCTTGAATGTACAAGAATGCACAAAATAGGGAATCAATGATTCTTGTCTCTGTTTTTATCTCTCCTTATTTATCTTGCTACAATGCGTTTTTAAAAGCTTCAGTCGAGATCTTGCAAAACAACCACCCAACAATGTAAGATAATATGTTAGTCTTGTGCTCGAGGCGCACAAGATATACTAATTTCTGAAAAGGCCTAGGAGAGGGAACCCTTTGATTATGAGATGCATACTGTCAATATTGTCCTTTTAGTTTCAAATAAATTCAAAAGTTAAATGCAATTAATATGGTAATTACAAAATACCAGCACAAACTTTTCTCTCCCACAACATCCCTGCTTTTTTATCACGCTTATAGTTCTAGCAAGTGTTTTTTCTGTTTTGCTTCAAATTACAGGGCTGCACAAGCCCTACCTAAGGGTTTGACTGTACTCTATTAGTATCGGACCCATAATGACCCTTGTAATGGAGGGAATGAAATACCAACGCGCTACTTGGACTAGTGTTCAGGTTTGACGTTTTTATGTTGCATATAGAGCACCCTTAGTTGTTTTGTATTTTTTATTTTTATGTGAAGGAATACCTTTATGTAATTAATTTAGAATCTATGCACTGAGCTAATGTATGTATTCCTTTAAGAGCTTTGTTGATTTCACGAAAAAAATTGCGTTGTTTTTGTTTTTATTAATTTATTTGTACATGGTCGTTTTCATTGCCTGTTTTGTTTAGTTATTGCGAGTCTTCCATGACATAAACTCCTATTTGTCATTTTCTACACGTGAGCAGAATGGTCAGTGTGATGGATGTGTCAAAGAAGTATGGGTTGGAATATCGATTACTTCATTCAATTATCAAAGGGCATCCCTGGTATGGTGATTGGGGTTATGAATTTGCTGCTGGTAGTTTTGCTCTGACTCGTGATGCCTATAAATTGGCTGTTGAAACACTCTCTAGCCTACCGTTGTCCATCTTTCTTTCCCAAGGTCAAAACCATGGTTCTCACGTCCATGACATCATCTCGCGATACCAGTCTCTTTCAGAATGCAAGCTTGACAATATAAGAGATCTCTTTGGTTTCCTCATTAGTTTGGTCCACGATGCTCACAAATATTCCTCAAGGGTTGATGATGCCATGTGCAAGAAGCAAGGCACCGCCTCCGCCTCACGAGTTTTGTGTACATGGACTAAGAGTGATATTGAATATGTTGAAGAGGCCATGTTCAAAGTGTTGCGTGCTGTTTCTGGTTCTAATTGGGTAAGTGCACGTAATCTTAAACGTGCTGTGTTTAAGGTGGCTGCGCCAGAACTCCTTGATTATTGCCTTAGGGAACTTGGAGGGAAAATGGTGGGGGATGGGATGCATGTTTGTTCCAGATACAATCCTGATACAGAGGCTTTTGAGTACAGGTTAGTTATCATTCTAATCCTCAGAGAATTTGCCCTGGTAACATTTATTTATTTATTTTTAATTTGCTTCAAAGAAAATTCATATGGTTAGTTTCTATAGTTTAAAATGAATAAAATTCATTTACTATTATTTTTTCTCTGGTACATTTAGCCTTAATCTTCTTTAGCCATTCCCCAATGTTCAGTATACTCTATATATTTAGTATAGTTCAGGTGCTCTTTCAGTTAAGCCTATTGATGGTACTATGAGCTGAAGTCCGTTTGATTGGAAATTCTATAGTAATGTCATTGCAAAGGAGTTTTATTTTCGTGTTATCCCTACACAATTTCTCCGCAAAGTGCATTCTGCAGTCAAGCTTTGAATTTCACTTCACTAAGATAGGGATAATTAAAACACATTGAACGATCAAGATTTTTACATCGTTCAACAATTCATCTAAAGTCACATTGACACTCCTTGTCAGGTTTGCTCAACTTCACTAGTACGAGATTTTTTATTTTTATTTTCTTGTTTATCTTTAAACCCTTATTGTCCTGTATGTAAAGGACATGCACATGGAAACACTTCTCAATCGACACAGATTTATGAGCTTCTCTGGAGCCATACTTTTCTAGGTGGTGTCCAGATCTGCCTTCTAGGTGTTCCTCAAGCATTTATACGAGTTTCATTTGAGCACATCATGCATTTTGCGACTCTTCCAGCTCCACCATAGTTTGGTCAGGCCAGCTTTACACTTTTAACTGTTTTTACAATTTGCATATGAAGTTTACTAAATTAAACAATCATCGGCTTTTAACCTGGTATCAAAACATCCGACCATAGATAAAGATCTAAATGCCCTGGAGTTATTTGGGTCTTAATATTAAAGTCGCATTTTGGTGCCTGTTGTGCATGCTGTTATATACTTCTGTCGATATATGTGTATTTTGAATTTTAGAGTTCTAAGAACTTGTGAGTTTTAAATATCAGTTTGGCATAGTTTATTAGAAGTTGAAACTCTGCAAGTTGTGGAACTTATTGTCATAGAACTTAGAAGCTATGTCTAATTAGTTCATTTTACTTTGTAATGTTTACGTGTTGACTATTAAGGAAGATTGTATGTCAACTGTTCTCCAGACTCGTGGCTGGGAGTGTCTCATCAAAGGGAAGCACTGCTTGCTCTAGTTCTTCTCTCTCTAGCAGCATATCAGAAGAAACTCTTGTGCTGGACTTGCGCTTCTTATATGAGTACATGCTCCAACCCCAAACTATGATGAAGGACGTGCCTCAGGTAACAAGGGATCTTGCAATCAGCTCAGCTGAGAAGCTACTTGACTGCAAGCAGTTTGTGAAAGACTACAAGCCTGAAAAGATGTCAACTAATGACCCATCTGTGACATGTGTCTTGTGTAGTGTGGAATTTACAGATGAATCTGAAGAATGTTCCTTCATTAATCCTCCTCCCGAACTGATTGTCCTGTCAAATGCTACCGTATCTGATCTCAAGCTAGCAGCATCGAAAGCTTTCCAAGATGTGTATTTGATATTAAAAAGGTTTCAAGCTGAAGAGTTGCTTGACTGCGGCAATGTTGATGAATCCACCCAGGTCAAGCACTTGTTAGGATCAGCCGAACTTGTTCGGGTGAGAGGGAGGTGCAACGCAAAGAGTGTATGGAGTAAGTTTAGGATGGAAAGGGGGACTGAAAGATGGACAGTAGATTGCACGTGTGGGGCCAAGGATGATGACGGAGAAAGAATGTTGGCTTGTGATGGTTGTGGCGTGTGGCGGCACACTAGATGTACTGGAATCCCCGACTCTGATTCAGTTCCTGCAAAATTTCTTTGCGAGAGATGCAAAAGCTCCGCCTCTGTAGAGAAATCCGGCGGCCCTTGCAAAGACGAGGTTGTTGCCAATGTAGACGGAGATAGCCGCTGCACTGGGAGTAGTTTGACCGTCCCACCCGATGTTCGCTGAGTTAATTTAGAGGTGTTGAGGAAGCGGTTTTGGTTTTTGGTTTCGGGAAGAGACGTTGGTTTTCTTGATCGCAGAAACGACATGTACAGAAGCCTTCTTCTTCCTTCCTCTTTGTATATATTCTTCCACCCCCGTGGTTGGCGGGCTGCCTCAACACTTTTTCTTAATAATATAACAAAAGGTTTTTTATTTCGCAAATGGTCTCTCATGTACTGCCAACTCATAATCTTATGACCTTCATCAATTTCGCCCCCCGTTTAAATCTGATAAAACTTCCGTTAGTTTGATTATGTGGCACATGATTGGGACCTGTAAGTCTAAATAAATGAGGAAATTTTCAGTGTATTTAGAACACCTAACGGTACATCACAAGTTATTATACATTTAGTGAGACTTCAACTGTATAACAATGCCACATTGATTAAAAACAGAAAATCTTTTCTTTTGAATTTTTGTTTCTTTTTATTTAAAGGGGGACAATTAGTGACAAGCCACGGTTATCCATCATTTCCGGGGGCTGGGAAGACTTACAGAGGCATTTCAACCTTCCCTTGTTTACAAGTTTGGCTTCCACACCAGCCGTGGATTTTTAACCCGAAATCTTTAGTTTTTAATTTTAAGAAAATCTCGTAATCTGTTATTTACCATTGGACTATCAATTCATGGTTTTTGAATTTTTATTTCTAATTCACTAGGAGTTGAAAGAAAAATAAGATCAATAATTAAAAATTAAAGAAATATGTTGTATCTTCAAGATCGGGCAACAACGACAGTCCCACCTCCACCTCCCTCTCCCTCTCTCTCTCTCTCTCTCTCTCTCTCTCTCTCTCTCTCTCTCTTTTCATCCTATGACTTTAGAGTTAAGCGTAAGCCTTAAGGTGATATTTGGCATTTAATATAATTCTAGATTTAAAAGTAGGACCCTCTTATAGCGGAAACAAAATATGTACCCAACTCTCATTGGAGATGATATAATTTGCACAGTTTGCACGACGTCGTTTGAATTGCTAATATACAAAACAAAACTTCTTCACAATGAGGTCGTATGAAAATTTTTATTTATATTAAACATGAAAATTATAGCAATGGATTTTTAGTTTATGACTCAACTAGAACAATAGTTTTTTAATTAAAAATTTATGACTATTGATTCTTTAACCAATAAAGATGTACTTTTTTCATCAATCTAGTCCGTCAAAATTAGACAATTAAGTTGAACAAGGATTACTACAATTTTCTTGTATAAATTTATACTTCATAACGAAATTAACAAATTTGTTAACAGTCGTACAAAATTGATACAAAACAGGAAGTCGTCGTATAAAACTTTAAAAAAAAACAAAAGGATATATGAAGTTGAAATAGGAGGAAAAGTTGAGGGGTGATGTAATTTACCCTTTACTCTGGCTGGGCAAAGAGTGAGAGAGGGAGATCCAACTTCCAGTTTCCAAATTATTTCCAAATCTTCAAATCATTTCCAAAATTCCAAAGGAAGGGAAATGGAGAAGATGAACCAAGCGTTTGAGAAGGTGAAGATGCTGGTGGGTATGGAGGTGGACGAAGAAGACCAGGCTTCTGCTGCTCTACAGCAGGATTCCAACTTCATGGATGACTTCAATCGCAACTGCACATTGTCCACCAAACAGGTGATTAATGCTACTAACTAAACCCTAAATCTCCATCTCCGCCAAACAGCTAATTTCATATCTAATCTCTCCGATTCGATTCGATTTCATTCGATTTGGTTCAATTCTACAGAGGCTGTACGGTTTCTCCATATGCTTGGCTGCCGGAATCACTTGTACGCTCTTGGTAAGCTCTAATTATTCAAAGCATACTCTTTTTCCTTTTCCCTGTTGTCCATCAACATTGAGCTCAACGTTTTACCAAATACGCCCGCTTAATGCGTCTTCGGTGATTACTTGCAAGGCCTCACAAACCGGGCTTGCGATGTTTCAAGTTCACATGTCCGATCATAATTAAGTGTAGTTTATTGTTAGTTAATACCTGATCTGTACAAAAAGTATTCGTTTTCGTTGATTGGAACTACTAGTTTTTTTCTACCATGATGCAACTTTGTGAAGTCAAATAACAATCTGCCTAAGCTAGTAATAGCTATTAGCCTCTTGTGCTCAATAATCTGGTGTCGGAATTGGTTGCAAGTCAAAATTTCGGCCATTCTACTCATTATATTCTTCCCAAACTTTTTTATGCATTAGGAACTCTAGAAAGCATCAGGATCATAATAATTCACCCATCACATTTCTTTATATATGTGTGTGTGTATACGTATATGTATATAGTGTCTACTATACACTTTTAGTGGGGAAGGGCATCGAAGCATCCCACAACGGACTACTAACTGTTAGCCGATATATGATATTTTACTGTGTTCCAGGAAACCTGAACTTTCAATGTAAATAAGTTGTCAATGTTATAATTTCGTTAAGGTGTTCTAAAACCTTAATACTTATAATTTTTTATAGTTAAGGGAGGATTGAATATTTGACTTGCATGATTAGATAGATGTCAGGGACCTACGATGGTACTGATATGCAGGGTTCTTTTCTTTTTCATGTGACAGTCGATGCTTGTTTTCTTCCACCCAATCAAGTTTGCAATCACATTCACACTTGGAAATCTGCTTTCGCTTGGGAGGTTAGTGTTCGATTTGCTCCTCATGTGATCCATGAGGTGTTTAAAATGTAGTGCAAATTTTGTAAAGGTAGCAAATGAGTCAATATGGAACACTTAGCGTGCTTAGCTAAATGACAGAGAAGGAAAACTTATTTATTTATTTTCCGGCTATGGAGAATAACAGTGTGCAACCTTGAAAAGTTGTCATAATCTGTGACATTAAATTTTCAGAAAATTTCAGAACATCTAATCTCTTTTGGGCTTTAATTTTCTGGCCCAACGTAGTTTCCACTTTTTCTGTTTTGCTAGGCAACCTAAGGGACACCATTTGTGCTCAAAAATTTTACAGGCCCTTGGAAGTAGGTGGATTTTACCACAAGACTGTTCAATTGAACCAGTATATTTGCTCCCTTGTTGTGCATTCAGATTATTGTATTAGCTCCGCAGGTTTTCCCTTTGGTTTTAAAAAACATTGAGTGCCTCGGATCCCAGAAAAACAATAAGAATAAGACGAAACCATTGAGAGCTAATCGAATAATTTAATGCGCCATAAGGGAGCAATTATACTCTTTCCTGTTTTCGGTTTCGGTTTTGGTTTTTTTTCAAATCAATACTTTTAAGTAACCCTTTTCATAAAAATAATATATATATATTTTAGTCTCTAGTCTTTCTTTTTATACATTGTCTAGGGAAAATTTTTCACCTCTAGTTTTTACTCTTTTGTCTGGCAGCACAGCATTCCTCATTGGTCCTAAACGGCAAGTGTCAATGATGCTTGACCCTGTCCGAATTTATGCGACAGCGGTATACCTTGCAAGTATAGTAATTGCCTTGTTTTGTGCCCTCTATGTAAGTTGCAGTGGCCTTCCCTTTGTTGTTAATTTTTCCTTAAGTATGTTTGAAACAGTGTGAGTTTCCTTTGAATCAATTTAGCATCTGATGTTATCTAATTTTCTTTTGCATTGAGCAGGTTCATAACAAGTTATTGACACTTTTGGCAATACTTTTAGAGTTTGGTGCATTGATCTGGTATGTGATAGTATTAACATGCTTTTTGTGGCTAGTTTTTAATAATTTTATTCATAGGTTAATGAGGGGTTGAGATCCACATACTGTTAAAGGAAATTTTTACCTATACCCTTGAACTTTTGGCTCGTTTGGAATTTGTTTCCTGAAGAAAAAATTGGTTTCTGCTCCTCCCCAAATCAATTATGGGGTTGAGCACATGGATTTGATGAATTGATATTCTTTAACAAGTTAATCAATTATGGGCCACAACCATTGAGTGGTTATATAAGCTTGCAAAATTGACATATGAATTTGATGTGGACCAGCAAAGTCTAGGTTAATGATAAGTGCACCATGAATGATGTGTTCTTTCAATATTTTGATGTCTAAAACTACTTAGCCTATGGGTCCTTTTGATATCGTCAAAATAGCGGGTCAAGTATCACACTGTTATGCTAGCTCCAGTATAAAGACTTGGGCATGTTCAAATTCTCTTGGTTTGAATAGCTTTGCAAGTAGATCATACATGACTTCAACAAAACATCATTAGAGAATAGAGAAGGCTGCGAACTCTAGATAGTCACAGATGCAAGTATTGTAAGTTTGTTTTTTAATTTGAACCTAAATGATCATAGAGAACACTGCCAAAATAATCATAGTTTAGGGGATATTGAAGTTATTCATTCAGAGGAGAAAATTGCCAAACAAGTCAAACTTCTGGGGAAGCCATGTCAGTCTAAGCCAAGATAAGCCACTCAGTCTAATAACAACCAAGTAACTCCAACTAAGGAAACCCCAAGGCTGTATTGCTATAGTGAAAAGGTGGGAAGCCGATTCCAACTCCTCTTAACCCGTATTAACCTGTTCACCCGAACTTTAAACTAATAATGAAATCATCAAAAGTCAATTTTACATGACAAATTTTGATTCATCCAAGCAACCTAGATTTCTTGATCAGAAGTTGACTACTTGTTGAATGCACCAAATTGAGTTTCGGAGCTGATTGATTATGAAATTTGATCCCCTTATCGTCTTATGTTTTTGCAGTTTTTAAGTTTTAGGGTATTGAACCAAGAAGGGAAGATTCACAATATTCGAAGGCTGTAAAATTTAGATTTCTTTAAGGTTAACTAAAGCTTAAAAATGTCGAAGTATGATACCTTATTGCTTATATATACGTGATTTTGTATGGAATAAAACGGTGAGTTGGTAACTACTCTTCGTGATCTATTTTCTGTCCCTTTCTTTCTCTATTTGGTAGTGTTCATTTATCCGTTCCTTTTGTTCTTCTGAGGTAACAGGTACAGCTTGAGCTACATCCCTTTTGCAAGATCCATGGTGTCGAAGGTCATGGTAGCGTGTTTTGACACTGATTTTTAGGCTGATACTTGTCAAAAAGCGAAGGGTTTGGTACTCATCCGTCGGAGGAAATATGTCCTTGTATACGTTTGAGTTTTTTTGTAGCCTTGCACAAAGTGAAGCACTAAATCCGATCTAAGAGTACCCCATGAAATTGAGATGTACATTATACGTGTAATTCCCGTTAATTACTTTTGTGATTGTTCTGTTTATTTTGTTGAACTTGGATGTTTCAGTTATGTTCAACTTAGGGTCTTAATTAAGTTTTAGTACAGTTTTGGATCACGTCAGGACATATTCCAGCTTGTGCCAGTCCGAGAATTTTCAGGACAGCGCAGGATATAGTTCGGTCCATGACAGTTCAGTTTGCCAAACGAGGTCTTCAAATTTAGATATTAAAACTTAAGGAAAATGGTTTAAAAACTTTGAGTTTTAATGATAAGGACAAAATAAATGGTAAAATGAATAGTAACATGATTGATTTTTTTGTGTAAAAATGTGGTTTTTCGTTAAAGTAAACAGTATTGGGAGCTTTTCGTGTGAGATTTGCATAACTCTTCGTTTTGCCCTGAGATTTGAAATCGATAGAATTAATTCCTGAGTTTGTTCACAATCAATCATGTTGGTCATTTCATGAAAAATCTCCATAAAATAAGAATAAAATGATAAAAATACCCTCAATTTGTGTCAAATCATTTTGGTCTATTGTTTATTATATTGAGGGTAATTTTGTCATTTTGATCCTTATTTAACATAATTTTTCATCAAATGACCAAAATAATTGATGGTGGACAATCTCAGAGACTACTATTGATTTCAAATCTCATGGATTAAAACTAGGAGTGGCAAATCTCAGAGATCATTTTAGCTAAAAAACCTTAACATATCTCATGTCCACTAAAATTTAACGAGAGAATAATATGGCAAAAGAGGTTTCTATTTTGTTATGGACTTAATTAAGGGAAGTATAGATGCATAAGGATTCCTATGGGCTTGTGAAAGGCGTTACACAGGGTTACGCCCTATTAGGAATGGTTTACTTAAAAGGAAGGAGAGTTTCAAACCCCGAATATATTGGTTATGCACTATTGATGTTGTATAAAGATATTCAAGAAGATCTCTATAAATTTAAGAAGAAAAAAATATATATCGAAATTGTGGTAGGGTTTCAATCGGTCTTTTGGAAGTTTACAATTTTTGCAAATCTAGTTAAAATGTAGAAAAACAATTAAGTGTATGTTGTTATTGCGATTTCAACAAACATATATTACATGTAACAAGTCATTCCTCCTTACATGACGATATAACATTATTTCACTCAACAAACTCATCCTTCAAATCATTTTTTATTTTATTTATCATTATGGATAAGTGATGGCATTGCCATCTCCTGACCCGATTATATACGTCCATTAAACTGTTAATACAATTTTTATAAATTAGGTTTGTGAGTCCTCTTTGTTGCTCTTGCAGTGTCTCATATTTCCTTGCTATTACAATTATGTAATATTTTTTTTATAAAAAAATTATTTTCTTCGTTATTAGCTTCATTCGATTACATACTTACCCTAGTTGATTATTGATTGATTTGTGTTGCATAATCAAATTTAAGAGAATTTTCATGATAAGCGGGTTGGCAGGTGCAGGTTTGGAAGTACCATTCTCCGCGGAGGAGGGGATGAGAATCCACATTTATCTCCGCGGCGATGGGAATTAAAAAGAAAGGTTATGGATGTGGTTATGGGGAAAAAAATCCCACACGGATGTAGGGATAGAGGTAGCAACAACCCCCAACTACCACCCGCCGTGTAACAAAATTCGTTTTGTACATAAAACTTAGAACATCATGTCCGTACAATTTAAAACAAATAGTATATGGTTTATTATTGTATAATTGTAAACCCCTCACGATTTAAGTAAAACATACACTACCGAACCCCACACACATAAATTCAGGAATAAAATCAGAACAGCAAGAAAAAACATGTCCAGAAACACCCTTCCTTGTACAAACAAATTCAGAAAACGAGCCGCATTACATTTGGTTAATTTGTCGACAGAAAATGCACCCGAGCAAGTGTGTACTCTTTCCCAGCAATCCAAACACCCGTCTGCGACCACTGCACATCCTCCCAGTCAAGATTCTCCTCCAACACCTAACCACCATGAAAACAACATTTTTAATCTACACCCACAAAGAAAAGACATACAAACGCGAATAGCTTCACGTAGAAACATTATCCGAATTCACAATTAACCCAGCAACCTCTATCAAATCTCATAATGTTAACGAACTAAAAATGAAGGATAACACATGTAGTACCTCCACATAGTCAAGGGGAAGTGGGATCCCAACTGACCGCAGGACCTTCTGGGGAAGAGGCGTTTTACATAGAGACCAACGGAAGACATCAACCATGATGTTATCAGAATCATTTCTTTCACCATTGGTGGAATGTGAGACATGCTTTTGACTCTTCTCTGTCTCGCCTTCATGCATCTGAGACAGCTGCGCAGCTTTGATCATTTTCTCTCCGGTAAAACAGAGCTCATACCTTCAGATAATAGATCAAAAGGTAAGAAAACACAACGCATTTAGAAAAAAAATCTAGTGCAGCATGACTACATCACCCACCTTAAAAAAAAAAAAAAAAAAAAATTTAATCTTAACAAAAAGAAAACTCCGAAACACACAGATAGATGATCCAAAGAACATATCATTTAACCAAACAGGGTCAATGCAAATAAGAAATAGAAAAGAATAAAAAAAGGGAAAAGGTGCCTACTTTTTAAGTAAATGTCGTTCAATAGCTAAACAAGCATGAAATAGAGAGAAAAAGCCAAAGTTCCCTATCCAAAAAGTAACTCATCTCCTATGTCATGTAAACTTCATTATCCAATACAAACGAAGGAAAAAAAAATGAGATAATCAAATATCGAATATTAGTTCTTAAAAGAGCTCATGAACACATCCCGAATACAGAGTAAAATAAATAATTAGCGTTTGTACCTGCGTGAATGTGTTTCTAAGTAAAGAACTTCTCCCTTCTTCAGACGCGCAGAAGTATACAGGGTTTTCTTCAAACCCTTGTCAGCAACAATGCTTATACTATACTTAATCCTGAAAGTTAAGAAATAAGAAGAAGAAGATCATTAGGTTTACCAATTTTATTAGGAACAAGGTTTACGAAAAAGAAAATTATAATAACAAGTTCCATGAGCTGTCCTATTAGTCTCTTCTCAAAAGAAAATAAAATGAAACAAAAGAAGCTGCCTCCTATTGGATTAGAGTATTTGATGCTGCTTTCCTTTCGTAATTTGAAATTTTGAATGTAGATTTCACATCTATGAATTTTAAATAGCTTTTGAGTTAACAATGGTACCGTTTCTTTTCCCAAAAAAGAAGAAAGCTGCTATGCTAGAAATCATAATTTTGAGTGTAGCAATTAAGATGTGATCAAGTATCACAAGAAAAATTAAACTAAGATCTGTTCCTAGGTTGAGTTGTTACACAGACACAAGTTTTCAAAAAAATGTTTGCAGCCTTGAACTAAAAATTACTTTTTATTTTATATAAAAGAAACAGAGGTTAATATTTAGTGGATCAGGGTGCAAGTGAAAGCTCGTTTCCAACCTATATAGGGGGTAGAGATCAGGAAAAACCTAAAGAATGTTTCCAGAAATAACATGAGCATCAACTTAGTGTAATAAATTACACCCCGCACCCCCAAAAAAAAAAAAAAAAAAAAGACAAAAAGGATTATGCATAAAATAGGTATCTCTATTCTGAATGGACATAAAACAAAGAATTATTTTGGTCAAAAAGGAAGACTTGAATGTACCAAGGCTCATTGCAGAGGTTGTACTGTATTGTAACTTCTCGTACAAATCTCTGTTGTCGCAATGCATTCTGAAGAATTAAAACCATCATGTAAGCTGAGAATTAATGATAATTGCTGAAGGGCTTCTATATATGTTGTGTGCTTTATGAAAATAAAAGCATATGATAATCCATATATAAAGACCACCCAAGTCTGAATCTTATGCTGCTGCAGTAATTTCTAGAAGCTCAAACATAAGAAAACTCATATGAAGGCGATTCTTTAAAATGAAAACACATATGCATATAAAATTCAATTTATCGTGACACTGCTTAACCATGGTATATGCATATAAAATTCAATTTGTTGTGACACTGCTTAACCATGGTAATACTGTTACAACAACCTTAAGAGAGCATCTCCAGAATTAACTTAAAATTGTTCAAAGAAGTCAATATATTAACTTGCACTTTTTTTATATATCAATCATTGATCAAAATGGAACTTAGAATTGCATGAGTTTTTTCTAAGATCATAGCTAAGATCTTATCAAGAACATACAAGCAAATATATGGATTCAACCCAAATAAAGCTTTTGGTTATTTGCCGTCACCACCCAGCCTCACAGAGGTCATTTGTACCTCCATTGCCTTTGAAAGTATTTCTAGTGTGCCCCGACAATGTAAACGCCATACTTTCCTTGCAGACTTGCAGTTTTACTAACTGTTAGTTCTTGTGCACACTTTTTTCCTTTTTGTTTCCCCTTTTTTTCCCTATAAGTTATAACCAAAAATGTGCATCCCTAGTATAGATATACTATAGAAACATAGGCCAAGCGAAGAAGTACCTCAAACCTTCAAAGCAGAATGTTCTAACACCTCATAAGATTAAAAATCACGTTTATATTACATGAACCATAAAGACCAAAAATGAATATTCTCCAAAAGTCCTATTTGTACTTTGACAAACTGACCATGCCAACTCACAAACAAATCAGACAAGTATGGAGAACACAAACACCACAGCTTCACAAAACATGCAAAAGAAAACGACAATTTACAGAGTTGAAATCCACCATAGGCAAAGCAAGAGGGCACCAAATTCTCTCCCAAGGAAAAGATGTATTGGATCTCAGCAGACCGCCATGACACAATTCAAACTCACTCTTCAAGAAAAACTCCATCTAACCACAGATCTCTAACACCTCATACTCTAGTTATATAAAGAATTTTTTGAAATTAAAACAAAACCCATTCCTAAATCATTAACGGTTTTCGAAAAGGTTGGATTCCAATGCACACTACCCTCCAAATAATCAGTCTTGGGTATTCTTGCCTGCTACCAATTCAAAAGAAAACAAGAAAAGGATGCTTATCAAGATTACCAGCTGCTAGCACAGCAGGTGTGGGGTCTTATCACAAAAGGCCTTGTTTTATTAGTAGTGGAACCGTTCACTTTCATATTTATTGTATTACATTTTCTCAAGTTCCCAATGTGGGATTTACATCTTTAAACTCATCCCCTTCCGTGGACCACCTCATAGTGGGCACACATGCAATCAATTTCGTCTGGAACAACCTCAAACCACTTATATGTTTCAAAGATGAATAGTTTTCAGCTGCGGCAGGTGATGGCTAATGAAATACGAGATATAATCCAACAGCAGAAGTTTTGTTCAACCAAAATTATAACTAAAAAACTTCAGCAAACTGAGGAGGTTTGTATGTTTGATGACTAAAACTTATATGTGACATTGTGACTGCACTAATGGAAAATGGACTAGGGGATACATTCCAAAAGGAAGAAAAACTTCAACTAAAATACAAATAAAATCAATTGCTGAGCAGAGTAGAAAATACCGAAGCTGCAGCCCTTGTAGTCATTGAGCGCTCCACAATCACTGGAGCAAGGGTAGGCTCCACCGTAGAAGTATGTGTAAGACAAGCTTCAAGATCAATGGTTCCACCCGCTTTCTGCAAACCAAACAATTCGGATGAAGCATCAGGCACTACAAGCCCAGCAGTATCATTAAAAACACTTTCCAGTTCATATTTAACAATATTAAGTCCAGGTCCAAATATATGTACTTAGCGTCTGCAATAAAATTTGGTCATCCTCAAAAGGGTATAACACATACACATTCGCGCACACACACTTAAAGAAGAAATAAATTAACTTTTAAGTTTTATCACCTTGACGATGCAACAGCGCTCAACACGGAAACTACAACCAATTGCAGCTCCCCACGCACGCGATCGAACATTGTTTCTCAGTGAGGAAATGTAACCTAAAAAATACGTTACAAAACAGAATTAGACAAAGCATTATTTTATCCTACTGTGGAGTGCTAATAAAATTTCATCTAATGAAATAAAATTACAGTTTCGTCTTATAGACTTTCATTTATTACATAAAATTTCATCTTAAATGTATCAGACAGTTTCTTGTATGAAATATAACTTCATAGTTATTTACCAAACCGGGAGGAGTAAAAAATTAAAGGAACCATCTTTGGTTTGTCTTTTAAACAATGTTCATGTGCTCAAATCAAGGCACTGCATTAAATTAGAACTGAGAGATTGAGCTTTTTATAATTGTGTAATACAGGGAGTGCCCTCCTCTCTTCCTTCAGTCATCAACTTAAACTAGGCAAGCACACTCACTTTAGATAGGCAATAGAGCTAGCAACCAAAGACTTCGAACCTCAGCAATTGTTGTCCTTAATTGAAAGTGGAAAACTTCGAAGATTATCACTTAGTTGCCCTCAATTAAACCCACAACCCATTTTAATACCCACAATCACCATACACATCTAGCCTTTTGGTTTTTGGCTCCCATAAACGTAACCCACTTTGAGATTGTGCCACAAACTCTTGCATTTAAATCCACCACATGAAGAGAGGTTCAGCTCTCACCTAGAGAGGTGTCAATCTTTACTCAATTCATCTTTCTATTTCTCATTACGACCGTTGATCAATTTTTGGCTTCAACAAACCTCAATGGGAAATCTCTATAAACATTTAGGAACCGAGGATGGGACACCACACACCAACTCATGTGATCTTTCAATCAATGATGGCTTATAAGTTATTAACTTTAATTCTGTTATTTTTCATTAAATTAAAAACACATATTATAGCTTGTAAATAAGCAATTTGCAAGACAAAAAACTGTAATTATGTGCTTATATAATTTTATTGTCAAGAATTGATTATATGATTAAAATTGAGATGCAGATTATATTAATTATTTTATAAGCTAATGAATAAATGATTGATGATATGGCATTAGAAAATCTATGTAGTTCATCTAATTCAATGTGCATATTATAAAGCATAAAGAGTAGTCACTTACAGTCTTGTGGAGGTAGTACTCGAACTGTAGCACGCAACTCCTGGATAGCAGGAGGCGGAGGAGATGCTGTGGGCCGGCAATATCCAGTGTGCATGAGAACTGGAAAGCAAGATTGAACCATTAATACTGGTTTTCATATGTAATCTAATCTAAGTTATTCTCAAAAAAAACCAATCACAAAACCACACACCAGCAACGAGATCAGAATCATCTGTGTATATATCTGTCCCCCATAGCTGGCCACCTCTAACCTGCAACAATGGAATTAAAAGAACACAATCAAATCTAAAGAAAATTACAAAACAAAAACAAGAAGCAATCATTAACCTTGCATGCAATGCCCTGACTCAGACCCTGACAAGAATGAGGATAAAACAAAACACTTTTCTAACACATTGATTCATGAGGGCAAACAGATGAGAAACATAATAAACAAAAAGTGAACTACAGAGGCAGCTTATTAACCGGAGAAAGGTAAAAAAGGTGTGACACTTAAAAGCTCCTAGTAAGGGTAGATTAGCTGCTATTATCAAATATCAACATAATTGTGTTTACACCTCATCAGGTACGGGCAATGTAACAATAATGAACACTCTATAGAAATCAAGAACAGAATTATGAATATTTAGAGCAGGAGTTCTAGAATTGAAAATAAGTAGTATAACCAAAATGGGCAAAAACAAGTACTTTGTAGGTCAAATTTTGTATGAACCTAATGTATCAATATTTGGCATGAACCTAATTCAGATCTTACTTGGCGATTTGTTGCGGTAACATGTTCAGCTGGAATCCGAATCTCAAGGGTTGGACCAGTAAGAGAACTTTCACCATTTTTTTCACCTGGAGATGCTTCATATTCCTTCCAAACTTTTATCAGTTCTTGCATGCATTCGCCAACTTTATAAACAACAGGTGATACTTCACTTTTACCTGAAACAATAGCAGCATTAAAATATAACCTATGTGTAGAGATTACCATATAATATCTGAAATGTTAAATATGAATAAAAATGTATACTACACACTACACAACTCTCTGACTCTCTCCCCTCTTTCGATTGTGTCTTGGCATGCTTGCATCAGTTAGAAAATTAACAAGAATGGGACCTATTAGCAAACAACTTCTAAGAAGCTGAGAACGTGTTTATCACGCTCAGCCTTCTTTGAAATTCCAAATTACATTCACCCAAGAAAAATGATCTCCCCTCGTGTCTGCCTGTGCAAAAGAAAGCTGTAAAAACTATTGAGAAGTTTTTCCTCCTAGGAAACTGTTTGTTTATGTATATTTCTCTCTTTAGTTTGAATGATCCATGTGACCTTCTACAAGCAACTGTTCTTATTGCTTCTTACTTTCCACCAGGGAAGATGCTTAAGAACTCCTTTTTTCCCCTGACCATACTAATTCGCCACTGGGACGGGGTGAAGGCTTTCTACATTATGAACAAAAGCTAATTTTTGGACCTCAAACAATCATTAACCATCCTTTCGACTTTCTTCACAACGTGAAAGCTTATTTGCATGTATGTATTTTTTGGAGGGTAAAGTCAAGAGGTTTCTATTGCAATCTACAGAACTTCACCAAGAAAAATTTCTTGTTGCCAGAAATTGGAATACAAGAGCACACCTTGGGATCTGCAAAACACAAGAGCACAGAAGAAAATTAATGGGTATATAAAACCAAAGAGGTATGTCCATCACAGATAAATGAATATCATAAAGTTGAGCACAAAACCAAAAGATACTGAAAAATGACATTGTATGGGAAAAAAACCACTCTGATATGTCACAAAATAATAAGCACACTGTTAAGGAAATAATTCGTTCAAAAAACTTGACAGTTGAATTTATACTGGTATTATAAGATTAATGCTTTACTAAGCAGTTACCTTAGGCTACCATTACATTTATCCAGTGACTTGGGGTAAAAAAAAAAAAAAAAAAAAGTGCTTGGAGTAACAAATAATGTTTATTATTTATTGCAAATTGAATCAGTATAAACTAAATTACAAGATCAATGTATCATTCAGCAAATTACTTGTAATAAGAAAAAAAAAATTAGTGTCACCAAATATTTATCCTATTATGATGTAACGAGATGACTGCCACTTATTTATGTGTAAACTGTATAATAGTGTATGCACTGCAAAAAGTTCAATCATCCACTTCAAAACAATTTAAGGGTTTTTATCACAAATGTTCCCTTATCTTTTGTCAACTCATCAGTTTGTTCCTTTATATTCCCAACTCATCAATATTGTCCCTTATCTATTGCTTTACTCATCAATGTTGTCTTTAACATCTAAGTCCGTTGGAAAATCCGTTAGTTTGCTGATGTGGCATCTTGTGGGGGCCTCAAAGCTAATTATATGATGACATTTGGATTAATAAAAAGTCAATCATTTAAAATTAGTAAGAAATATATTTAATTATTTTAAAATTTAAGAATCCATTTTAAGAGTAAAGAAAACTACAGGAAAAAAAATGTGAGAAACTGAAAGGTGGAACGAAGGTAGGTTTGGGGGAGGGAAGCAGGGCAGTGGTGTGTTGTGGATGCGGTAGCAGGAAGGGTGCCGATTAGGGTTGGGTATGGGATGGCTGGGTGCAACGCGGGGGTGGGAGTGTGAGTGACTAGGTTGATCTAGTGGGGGTGCGAAGGTGGAGTGAAGGGAACGGCTGGGGTATGGGCTGTAGAAGTTGAATTTGGGATTAAAAGTTGCATATTGAGAGTGGAGTGGGCAGTGTTGGTTAGGCAAAGAACCAACTGAATTCAAATTACCAAATCCAATTCTTCAATAGGGTGGGTGTCGACGAGGGGGTGATGGTAGGGAAGGGTGGGCGGTGGGAGGTGATGTTGTCCAGTGGTTTTCTCTTTTTTTTTCAATTTTTTTCTTGTTTTCCTACATGGGCTTAAGCTTTTCCTTGTAGATTTAATTGTTTTAATATATGTGTCATAATACGATTGGTAACATGGGCTCCACACGGATCCCATGTTGACAAAGTAACGGATTTTCTAATGGAGTTAGGTACCAGCGACAACATTGATGAGTTGAGGAATAGATAAGGGAAGACACTCATGAGTTTGGAACATAAAGAACCAAACTGATGAGTTGAGATAAGATCAAAGGACCATTTGTGATAAAATCCACAATTTCAAATATACCTACAAAATATATTACTTATGGACATTGCGCAAATAACTACATATGGTCACTCTTTCTAATTCAATAAGATAGGCAAAACATGCTAATAAAGGAAAAAAATACGAAGCCACTAATTTAGTTTCGAAGTTAGTAGTTATGCATGCAAAATGATTACGAAAATAAACAAATAAAGCAAATTTTCACATGTACGTTTAATAATGTGAAATTGGTAAGCCATCATGCTTGCAATAAAGTCAGAAACAGAAAAGGAAAATATTAAAACCCACCCTTCATTGTCTTGAATGCGAGACCTAAAACGCAGATCATGGTTTGCCACCAGAGGGCTACCCCTTGACCGTTGCATCCTTTTACGCTGAACTCCATGATTATAGACTTCCCTTTCTCTGTCTGTGGCCCCTTCACCATCTGCACATCCATCATCTGATTCTTTGTCATATCCCCTACGGTGCTTTTCAGCTCTATCTCCTTCAACATCAACATCTCTTTCTTTCCTCCTGTCTCTAGATTCCCTATCGACAGTTCTCCAACTGTCAAAATCTTTCTGTTTCTTTTGCTCTGGCGGAAGATTATCCTGCTCTGACATTCTAATAGATCCATCACCAGCTTCCTTCTCATTATTCGAACCATCTTTGTCTACTCCATTCCATGGGTCTCTCTTGGTATGATCCCTTTCCCGCTCTCTTACTCTTTCTTTGTCTTTTCCAGTGTCCCTCCTCTCCCTCTCCGACCTCTCTGCATCTCTTTCTTCCTTTGCTGGTTCTTTGCCCTCACTGCTGATAGCTACTTGAATACTAGTCCTACGATCACTTCTTTCCTTATCCTTTTCACCCCAATCCCGGTGCTTTGCATCTTTCCTTTTTCTATCCTTTTCTTTGAATTTATCATCACCTTTAGAATCAAACTTGTTCTCCCCAACAGCCTCATGTGCCTCAACATGATCCCGCTCCTCCGTAGTGGGAAGTTCCTTTCCAACTTCAACGTGGCCTTGAGAACTGCCGCGATGCCAGGTGTCTGTAGTTGCGGGTGGGGCATCGGAATGTCGTTTTCCTCTATGGTAATCTTTTGATTCTTTCCAGTTCAAGTGACTAGTGGCCAGTGCATAACCTTCCATTTTGGGGTCAGCCTTAAGATCGTTAAAATTCTGCCTTTCATATTTGACTTCCTTGTTGTCATCTCCTCTGCTGTCATACCTTACCTCTTTTTCACCCTTAGAACTCTGAGCATCCCTTCTTGCATCGTTGTACAACTCTCTTGCCTCTGTCTTTGTGTCTCGGTTCTCAAAGCGAACATCTCTAGTGTCCCTGGACTCCAATCTATTGTCGGGAGCCGAAGGATGATCTATGTGCATATCACTAGAATTCGAGGGCATTCGATAGATTGAGTGGAGGGGAGATCGCCTATCAGGGTCGCGAGAATCGGTGCGGGGAATCTTGGGCAAGCGAGCATCGGGGCCAATGTCAAAGGGAGGATGGTATTCATTGGAAACAGAGGATGAGAGCTTGGGGTATGGTCCGGAATCGTCATGTGGTTGTGGGTGCGGGTGAGGATGCGGGTATTTGGAAGAGGAGGAATGACCACTCTCTTCGTGAGGTCGTTTAGGCGGACCACTCATGGCCAACAGTTCCTTGCTTATGACTGAACTGGAAGAATTGATGACTGCAACCAAACAAACAAACAATCAGAAAACCCTAAATACAAAGAAACCACAACTTTGGCTCGTAAGTAAGACAACCACAAGAGAAATCCAATTCCTTTGAAAAGGATAACAAAACAAAACCCCAAATTATTTTAGGGTCAGAAATATAATACAGATAAACTGAGTTTACAAAATTGAGAAATGATACCCTAATGGCAGAAAAACCCTAGATAAACAAGCACACCCACAATGTGATTCAGAAGAAGAAGAAAACCCTAATAAAAATAAATAAATAAATAAAAAGATAAACAAATAAATAAACAAATATGAATGATTAAGTAGGTTGCATGTTTACCTTGTTTTCTTCTCCTCGAATCAAATTCAATCCTCTGTGTGTCTGCGGCTCCAAGGTAGCTGCTTTCGCTTGTTGCTTTTGGAGTTATGGAGGTGTTAATACGGACGGAATCGTTGGGACAATGCGTACGGAGGAGGAGGAGCAGACTAGTTAGTGACGATGACAAGAGACAGAAACCAACCGGAAGGAAGGAATCCCGCTAATTGCCAATTTCCTATGGTTCAATTGACGGTGGTGATCTATTCTTTTTATGAGCGTTTCTCTCCATGCGGCATCAATTTCAGTTTGGGCTGGCCCAGCCCATGAAAGGATACTGGACTACAGGCCCTGTGGTTTTATTTTTGCTGCAGCCCAACTCCACTGAAACCCATGAGTTTTGGCCCAGCCCATGAACGTACATACCAAATTTATGCACATTGTTGAATCAGCCATGAAGGATCTGCGGAGGATTCTATTTGTAATTTATTTAGTATTTCAAAAGAATGTATATATAAATACCTTAGTGATAAATTATTTATATTTATTTATAGTTGTATAACTTGAGCAAAGACTAGTGATAAGATGTTAAGTTCGGTTGAGATGATATTATTCATCTTTAAGCTAAGCTCAAGCTCGAAATAATATGTTCAAGCTTGACTCGAATAATTGTTTTTCAAGTTTGAATTTGGTTCGTTTGTAAATCAAACTTGAAATTTTATTTAGCACGACTTAGTGAAAAGTGAAAGATGTTAAAATAAACTAAAATAAAAACATAATAATAAATACTTCAAAATTATCGCACCTCCAACATTAAAAAATATGAGTTGCAAAGCTCAAGTTCATGTGATTTTATTATAATATTTTATTCAAGCTCAGCTTGTTTCGTTTATGAACAGAGCTTGAACGAGCCAAACTAGGAAACAAATTTGAACAATCCAAGTTGGGTCATAGGTCTAAGCCAGAGTCTGATCTAACTGTTTTATTTTCTATTTCTCTTACTATTTATGAGATTTGAACTCAAAATATATTACTTATAAATGGACATGAATATAATTAGAATTGACAAAAAATTTCAACCATACCTTGAATCATGCGGGTTATTCTCGCGCAAAGTCATATGCTAATCTTTTTGTATCGTTTTAATTTTATCGGATAACCTCGAAGGAACCAAAAAAGGTGAACACGTGTCATGTGTGGGTTTAAGAAAGAATAGAAGGGGAATTTGGCGGTTAGGGTTTTAGGAGAAGTGAAAAACACCGAGCCTCGTCTTATTTAAGTTCCCTTGCTTGCGTTCCTCTTGTGGGAGGACTGAGGAGGCACCTTCACACTTGCTTCAGCTCTAAATCCTGATTCCATATTTCTGCCCCAAAAATACTCAGGTAAACTAAACAAAACCTCTCTCTCTGGGGTACCCAGCGCGAACACGAAACGAAGAATTTGGGGGGTACACTTTTTCAGCATGATTGTTAATATATATGTGTAATTTAGGGTTTTGCAACTTCATTGATGGATGGCAAACGGACCACATTGTCTCCTAAAACCCCCTTTCGTTTCTTTCTGTCCGGCTTCTGCGTCAGTCCGTCCGTCCGTCCGTCTGATTTCAGAGTTTTCCAACCTAACAAATTTCTGAATTTTGTTTTTTTTTTTTTTTTTTTATTTTAGTCTTTGAAATTTTTTTCATGTGTTGTGTTTGGTAACGAAGACAAAGTAACGAAAGTAAAACCCTGAAAATGGTCCGGATGTTATTTTCTAACGCAGGGGCTAAAGCCTTAAGGGGGTTTCAATTTCATTATGTTATGTGTAAAGCTCAGCCTTTAAATTTTAAAACTTTATCTATTTTTTCTTTGATTTGCAGATATACAGTTGCCATTATCACGCATTTTGTTTTGCATTTTGTAATTTTTTTTGTGGTTCCTGATTATACGAATATGAATGATGCTCTACCGGAGACTAAAGCACTCGCTTTTTTATCATTAATTGATGCAATGCCCTTAATCTGAGATATGGAACCTACAGCTTTCAGATCGAGGGATAGGCGTAGCGGTTACTTATAATAAATGAATATTTTAAAATTTCATAGATGTGAATTGTAATGGGTAGGTAGTAAGTTGCAGATTTATTCAGTGCCAAGCTCTTAAATGGGTGTGTTTTGGGAGCTAATGAAATGAACTTGGTCAATTGTTTTGGTAGTTACTGTAAGAAATGGTTTGTCAACTGCAGAATCTAAATTGCTAGGAAATGTGGCTTTTTGTTACCAAATTCATGCGTGTACACCAGAACTGAATCAGGTCATCAGTCGCGTCCATATTTTTTCCATCAAATGTTTCAGAATACAGTTGGTAGATGAAGGGTTCACCGAATAAGATGTCTAGCTCTTGTTGAACTGAAATTGAATTCATGTTTAGACTTTTAGAATCACACCAATCAACTTCATTCTCTTAGAAACTTAACTATTAGTTTAATAGGACTTTTAATGGTTCAGAGCGTTCGATCGCATCTGCATGTACTTCTGTTGTGCACTGAAGTTGTAGGTGACTGACAAAGCACAGAGATATTCTACTGGTTTCAGCTAGGAGACACCCAGATGGCACAGTGGGGTACTCGTCGGCGAATTGTCTTCCTTGGAAGACACGATGGAAATAAACCTCAACTTTCATCCAGCAGCAGTTATTCAACACATGAAGTGAAAGCTGTGAAAGCTGAACCCCTGGAGGTACCAGAGATCAAGAAGAGAAAGCGCCTTAGCCTCGGTGAACTGAAAGAGAAGGAAGCATTACTTTGTACGAAGAGGCCAACTAGTTCCAAGGTTATGACAAAGAAGTGTAGTAATGTGATTGAAAGATGGACAGTTGAAAGGTAGAACCCACTGTCACCTTTTGCTTGATTTCATTGCTCGTAAGGCTTTTTGATATCACAACAAATTAACTATATATGCAGGTATAAGCAAGCAGAGCAAGCTATACTGGAAATTTTGAAGGCTGAAGATGCAACTTTTGGAAACCCAATTTCCAGGAGCGACTTGAGGATGGCAGCTCGTAAGCGGATTGGTGATACTGGGCTGCTCGATCACTTACTGAAGCACCTTGATGGTAAAGTGGCACCAGGTGGGAACGAGCGGTTTCGGCGGTGGTTCAATACCAGCGGAAGAATGGAGTACTGGTTGGAGAGTGATGACCTGGCTAATATACGGCAGGAGGCTGGGGTGCATGATCCTTACTGGATTCCAACGTCTAGGTTGATGCCAGGTGGTGGGCCCTTTGATGATTCTGTTTCTGCTGGAGAACTGAAGCTACTTAAGGCAGAAGTAGATAAAATGAAGAGGTAAATGGAATCTTTATAAAACAAACTTGGAACTGATATATGTGTTCATAAATAATCTCTCTTTTTATTAAAAGTGATATACAGGAGCTGCTTTTATCCCAGAAGCAAGAGAAAGACCAAGCCAACCAGGTTGAGTTTAATGTTAAACAACATTTTATTGACATTACAATTTGATATTGGACTACTGCTGGATGAAATCTAAATCTCAGTGTTTGTTAAACAGGAGAGGCTCGAGGATTTGGCAAAATGGAAAGCTCAGTCTGAGCAAAGCTTGAAAGTGATCTTAGGTTCTTGGAAGGGTATGCAGGTATATAAAATGGAAATCCCAGTTAATTCTTCTGTCGTGTTTTGCAAAATCCATCTACTATTGGACAAGAAGTATGTGTTCATGTCGTGTATGTTTACGGCAGTTTGGTTCTGATGAAATTTCATATTCTTTTCTTTTCTACAGGACAATTTTGAGGAATTAATGACATGGAAGGATAAAGTCGAGCAACAGGTAGTGGAAATTACAAATGTTTTGAATAATATGCAAGGACCAAAGCAATACACTGTCACCAAGACTGAAGCATCTGAGCAGTGGGAAGATTGGCTAGAGAGCACCAACCTTGACAGTTTTCAGGGAAATAAACTTGTGCCGTGGTTTGCGAGAAACAGTCTGGTTAATTCTGAGGAAGAAGTTATAATCCAAGATCCCTGCTTAGCCGTACGGCTTACATCAAAGCACTGGTGATAGCTCATCTCAGGACCCTTTTGCCAAAGTCAAGGAAGATAAGGCCGAAATGGAGAGGTAACAAATAAAATGTAAAACCTCAAACTGTAAAAAATTGTTATCTAAGCTGAGCTTCTTGTGATTTTGCTGCTAGAAACAGAGATGTGTGTGAGCTGTTACTGGAGAAGCAACGTGAATATCAAGCTAATGTGACCCCTGATTCTTCTGCTACTGCAAATTCAAAGTCGGATCTTGACAATCTGGTTGTGTTTCAGGTGATATGCTGACAACAGATTAATAGAGGACTTGATATTTGGAATTGTTTCATTTTAAGTTTTCTGGAATGACTGTAAACAAAGCCTCATTAAAATCTCCTTGTTGACAGGAAATGTTTCAGGAGCTGTTTAATTGGAAGTATATAACAGAGCAGAAGCTGAGTGAGATATCAAATGCCATGAATGTCATGAAGCAGAATTCAACACTATTGACTCCTCCAGCCCCTCACGTACCAGAAGATGGAACTCACTGTATGGAATTTCATCCTTGTTTCATGTTTTAGGATGATTCTAGACTAGCAAGAACCATAGGATTTAGATGTTGTATAGCATTCACGAAGCTACTGCCTGAAATCACCGTTCCAGCTACTAAACCAGTGAGACCCGCTTCTAACCTACATGTTGAGTCAGAACCCCTTCTAGGTATTGCTCCTTTAATTTAATACCGACCTTAAGTTAAATGTGGTGCAAATGTTAATATACCGCTGATGGTAATATATAGGTTTAGACCGTTTTCCTAGGATGCACTTATCTTTTGAATGACACGGCAAATGAAATGATCCACAGCCACAGGTGGACATACTTATGTAATGTGTTTAGGTTGTGACATTGCGACCGCTGATATGAAGCGTATTTACAAGGTTCCGCATGCTTTTGTTACGCAAACTTTATTGCATATGCGTTTGGGGGAGACTTGTTTAAATGGACCCTCGTCTACATTACGTATTGTGAAGATGATAGAATGATTATCTGTTGATTATATCACATATGAGCTAATAACGACGCGGAAAGAGTTTGTTACTCGTTTAGTATAAGTTAAATGATGAGTCAAGTTGGATTATGAACTTCCTGGAGAAGTTGTCACCATAATGATTAGTAAAACAAGGCAAGGCTGAATCTTGCGTTACGGAATCTAGATGAAACCTGCGTTGTGAACTTCCAGATCTTAGGGAACATTTTTCTTCTATTCCATTATAAAGCTGGGAAGCTTTATTGGCTTGGGATCGTCCTTTTTTTAGTCGTTGTCGATACTTATTGTTACGCATACAGCATACTGTAGTCCAATAAGAGGACCGCATTAGGTTATAGAACCATATAAATTTGTATGTATAGGCTACTGCTACGGCTACGGCTACAGATCGAAACTGTGACTGTTGAAATGGAAGATAGGATCGTCGCGTTGTCTCCTCAAATTGTGTGACCTGATCTCTTTGGCAACACTTGATTCAAAACTTGGAGGACCACAGACAATGACGCCCGCATCGACGCTACCCCAATCCTTGGATATGGTTCCAAAAATTTCTGCATTCAGTAACAAGTAATCAGAACATGTACTAATCGGAACAAGTTTCTCTCGTCGATCTTTGGCATCTGCGGAAATATACGTCAATTCAACATTTCAGGGAGGGGGCATACCTTTGAAGTTCGGCCTTGCACCATAACGAATGCCGGTTAACTTTGAAAGATTTTCTCGGTGCTCATTTGAATCACTGCGACCTACAGTTTCTTCATGCTCCGCCTTATATACATCTGAAGCATCATCTTCACATTGATCCTGTACCGAAATTTTTCGCTCCCAAAGATGCCATAAACCAACCACAAGACCCCCAAAGACGACCACGCTTGCAATCATACAGAGCAGCAACAGAAGCCCTTTGTACCACCATGCAGATATACGGTACGGGTTTATGTACAAGACATCCAACAAACCCAATATGATAACTAAGCCTGCCGTCGATGAGATGAGATATAGTCCGGACCATAGATTATGTCCGGTACCAACCAAAACAGACATGCTACACCTTTTCAGCCTAGGAGGACAACGAGCAGGAAACTCCAGCGCGCTGTTCGGAACTTGACCCTCTTCCTGCAAGCAGCAATCAAACTAAATGTCAAAGAACAGCTGAACGAAACACATTTCATAGGAAATACAACGAAACCGATATGTAAACAAACATACCAACGGAGGACCAGATTCCCGAGTGACGTAAATTAGAGTCTGAATATTTAGTTTACTGGAAACTGTGTCCATGTCAATGGTTGAAAGAAGAGGAAGCTCAGTTTGATGTTTTGACAGCCCAGACAATCAAAATATTTCGTACTTGACACAATCTCCCTTCCTTAACACAGTGGACAATGTCACTCAGGACAGCCAGGAAAGGCGAAATCCCAATGCCGCCCGCTACTAAGACCAGATGTTCATACCTAATTAAAAGAACAATATATAAATTAGTCAAACAGGAGTATGATACAAAAAAAATTGTGATCAAAACAATTGAGAGACTTGAGAGTACATACACCAAGTGGTATGGTATCTCATGCCCATAAGGCCCCTCAACAGACACTGTTAGTGTCGTAGGAGGCGTGCAAGAGAGCGCGCTTTGTTGTTGTTCAGCCTCTGAATTTTTCAAGATCTTTCTCGAAGATTTTCTGTCCATTTCCCAAGAACCTTGATGAGGACGGAAATGTGATACTTACCGTCCAGAGGACTGGATGAAACGCTAAAAGGATGCCATTGAAGCCATGACAGTTCCCGGACTTGAAGAAAAATAAAACTGAGCGCGTTGTACTGCAGATCTAAAATATGGTGTCAAGAGCAAATTGTTACTCGTATGGTATAACAGAATATGAAACAAGCAAACGTGCGTGCGAAGAAAAATATTTACTTTCAGGTTTTGCGAGGACTAATTCTACAGTTCCGCATGGAAGGCACTTGGCCGAGATTACACCAACAGTCCTTCGCGATTGGCAGAATCTCAGAAAACGATCAAGGATATAAATAAATATGCCTCCGGCAGCACAGGCGAAAAGGAAATCACCAACATGCATAGCCAAGAAGGCGATGAAGATGACATATAGTTGATGAGTGTAGAAGAACAACTCAAAATTCAGCTTTCTAACTGGAGGGAGCGATGTGACCCACATCAACAGACCAGCAGCAAGGCTGATTACTCCTGCAAGATTTGCAACACCAATCTCCCTCCACTCCAATATCTGCATCAAATCAATAATCGAAACTTTAAATATGCACTCGAGCATCCTATATGCGACTAAATCTTTCTTTGGCATGAACACTCACTTTAGCAAGGAGATCGCCCTCCATTGCCCATTCCGCTATGTAACATAGTCCATGGAGAGTAAAGAGCAACATCGTGAGATGTCCCAGCCATACATGATATCTTGTAGCATGCTCAAAGGGATATCTATAAGGCGAAGAAGAACTGATCCCCTTGCAATAGGAAGGAACAAAAATGCCAAGCAAAACATCCCACTCGAGGCTAAGTATGCCCCGAAAACTGCCAGGAACAAACAACTGACAAGTTCAAGTAAACAAGGACAACCATCAGCAAACTAAACCAATCTTGAACCCGAAGAGACAAGAGCACATAAGTTTACTCTGACAATTCACCATGACATGCTACAAGAGAATAAAGGGAAAGGGGCAACAAACAGAATTGCTGGTTAATTTATCAGAGATTTTCAACATTATACATAAGTAAAGAAGGTAATTTTCCGACGTTATAAACTGAGATTCTCAATTTCTCAGTCATTTGCAGAGAACATGTGTCATTTAAAAGGTAAGTGATTAGACACCTAGACGAAGAAGAATACTATGCTCTCCATCTATAGTAAAACGGGATTCCTGCTAAGAAGCTGCTCTTAATATACACACACACGAGCACATACGCATCATGGTGAATTCCACGAATCTAGCTAATTGGTTTATCTGCTTACGAATTTTACAGGCAAGGCAACTATAGTCCCTTAACTCATGTATAGGTAGATATTATACCTTTGTGCTTTAAGACTTAAGGCACCAGGGATCTTGTCGAGAATGCTCACGGCATAATAGGACACAGACCACATAGTATACACAACAAAGAGTAAAATCCCAATCAACTCAGCAGCAGAAACAACCCCAAATAGTCCATCCACAAGAACTGGGAATGTCCACAAGCGGAAACTCGGGTTTTCTGAAGTCTTCTTCTTCCTGCATAAACAGTTCATACATTACACAATAAAGCATCGATTGGGTGAACATTCAAGTGATATGATTGAACTAGAACACCAAAACGTGAAGACGTATATATATACTCATCAATCTGATTAAAGTAAAGGCAGAACAGCAGCTGGTAAAGGAAAGCAGCGATCAATGTATTTTTCAAAAGAAATCAATAGATATACTTGTAGGGGAGCTCTTCTTCTCCGGAGATAGCAAGAAATACTATCGAAAGCAAGGCAATAACAAGAAGAGGACCGTTGAACAGAAGGAGCAGGGTTCCTGCATCCGATTCCAAAGTTAACTTTAATTTTAGTTTTAGGTGAAAAGAAGAGCAAAGGAGGCAATGATGAGTTGATCAAATGCCTGCCAACAAACCTGTAGTCCCGTAAAGAGTTCCATCGGTGGCTACAATCCAGTCACCAAATAATGTCTGCACAGAGCCTAGAGGGAACAGAAAAATGAAAACCACCCATGAAATGAAAAGCACCCACATTGTGATCTTGAGAGTCCATTTCGCCAAGGTTACGAAAAGAGGTATCTTCCGGACGAAGGCACGTCGAGAAGGTTGGCTTGGAAGAAGAAGGGGGTTATGGACACCGATTTCATCCATGGTTAATGCTTTGATCCTTCCTTCCTTCCTTCCTAATTATCAATGTTTTTAAGCTAGCTAGGTGCCTCAGTCTCAGGAAGTCTGTCGGTTCCCTGAGTAGTGAGTTCAGAACTGAACCAACATACATATATTTATACTCATTTAAATTAAGAGAGTTAGGAAAAAAATCCGAAGTCTGTGGAACCCTATACCAATTGCCATATCTACAGCGCCGGATAATAAATTATCGATTAAATATTGACAAGATACGATATGACGGCGCAATGTATAAAAATTTCTGAGCCAATAATGCAGCTTGTAGCCTTTATATCTCATCTGCACGGAATGCAGAATGTTCACACAAGTATTTATCAAGATTATGGTATAAAATAAACCACAGACTAATAGAAAGTGACAGCTTGAAGAGAGCAAGAAGAACCGGAATCGATTACAGTTTTACGTACATATATGTTGAAAAATGCAATCAGAACATGACAAAATGGATTACTACTTATAGATGAACAGTTTCACTACTAACAATATCGAGGCTTTTTGTAAATAAAACCCAATACTTAGTGAGCTGTGCAGGTGGTTAAATTTAAAAAATATCGGTGTAATTAGAGGTTGGTTTGGTATTGCTGTGATTTGAAGAAAAAAAATTGTTTCTGCTGTGCTGTGAGGATAAGCTCATTTTTTATTGTTTTACGTTTTCAGTTTTTATTTATCCAAAACTATGAAAATAAGCTGTTTTTAAATGTTTACCAAACATTTTTTTTTAGCTCAGCTTTTTTTTATACCCATTTTTTATAAAATACCTCAATACCAAAATGCAACAGAAATTATATATGCAAGTGGTTACTACCAGGTATTACACAGTGCAGCACAGCACATACTGTACAGTGATTGATGTTCACAATTCACAGGTAGCTAAAAGTAACAGCACTGACGCTCACAATTAAGTGAATTCACATAAATATCCCATGAATAATTAATATTTATTTAATACCCCGCGAAAATGATACATGAAGCAAAACATAAGGGAAGAAACCTTAGTGCGGAACTAGGCTTAGTCGAGTTGAGTAAAGATATGTGCTCCTTTATGTATCTAGTTCGAATCACATTTTTCGCAATTTAGATATATTTAACTTGTAATATCACTTGAAGGAAAATACAAAAGACAGAGATATATATTAATATTACTAACAAAGATAATTATATAAGCATTTACTATATGAAAATTAAACTAATGAATGGATACTCTTTAAAAAAAAAACTATGAACATGGATAATGGACGGACCACCCAAATTTTCTGTGTACCTTAAGAGACTAGAATCAATCCTATCCGTATAACAGATTCTTCTGATCTTCTTCTTCAAGTTGCTGAATTCGATATATACGTGGTTACGCTTGATTTTCTGCAATTCAATGCATGATTGATGAATGGCAGTTGAACTAAGACTGTTTGGTTTCGTGGGGTATCCACTTCTATTCTCTCCTACAGGTACGTGGGAGCTGCATGATTGTGTTTGTTACTCTGCTCATATTCCTTCAACTGCATTTATGAGAAACATGTGATCGGTTAAAAAGCTTCATCCATGTCAATCTTAATTTGCTTCTGTCTTGACACAAGGAAAAGTTGTTTATTTTTATTCTATACCGAAATGTCACAAGTTTGAGTCTTGGAAACAGTTACTTGCAAAGTAAGGGTAACATTCTTTCCTCCGACTCTCACAAAATAGGAAGTCATATTGGCTTAGGGTCGCCTTTTTTATATTGTTACCGTGTGTGTTTACACATTGCTGATATTATTACCTTTGCTTTATCATTTGCCCCAATTTTACTCTCAGAATCGTGTGGTGATAATTGGTACGTTCGTAATCTTGTCGATATTTACTACTATGATGTAGGTGGTAAGTATTCCTCTTTATTAAAAGTGGAAACTCTTAAGTAGATTATTTTGTTTAACTTTCTCTAATTATTTTCTTATGTAAGTGTATTGAAAAGTTCATGCCTAAATTTTTTTTTTGGTAAAACATACCTAAATATTTTCTTGTATAAGTTACTTACCATAAATTGTTGATGCAAATGTCAATAAATAAATGCAAATTTATTTGAATTTCAAATGAGTACTAGAATTTACAATATTTTTCATAAATTTAACTCAGGGCGCCAAGAAATTATAAAAAAAAAAATAAAAAGGACAGAAAAATGACATTGATTGTATATACTAAAATTAAATAGAGTTTAGAGACTAAAATCAATTTTTAATCTTGTATATGATATTTATCTAAACTTGATATTATATCAGCAATATATGGGGTGTTAATATAAGGCTTTTTAGCTAGAATGGTCCATGAGATTTGCATTACTCCTCACTTTGGTCCCTGAGTTTGTCCACCATCAATCATATTGGTCCTTCATTGAAAAATCTCCATTAAATAAGAATAGAATGACCAAAATACCCTTAATTTTTATCAAATCATTTTGGCCCATTGTTTATTAAATTGAGGTATATTTGTTATTTTGATCCTTATCTAACATAATTTTGCACAGAATAACCAAAATGATTGATAGCGGACAATCTCAGGCACCACTTTGATTTCAAATCTCATGAACCAAAATGATGTATTATACAAATCTCAAAGATCATTTTAGCCAAAACAACCTTAATATAACAAGCCTTAAAAAATAAAAATAAAAAAAAAAAAAAAAAAAAAAAAAAAAAAAAAAAAAAAAAAAGTGCCTTCTCTATTTATTTAAACCTATAATGGAAAACAATTTCTCTCAACCGGTTAACCCTATACTTATTGCCTTGAACATTTCGATTCTTTCCAACGTCATTCCGTCTATTTTTTATTGTCACGGTCAGATACAACCCTCTGATTTTGGTGAATATTTGAAGAGACGATCTTCTCATAAATTAATACCTAAAAATAAATAGTTTAGATCGTGAAATTAATAGTAAGAGGGGGTAATACGAGGCGCTAGCCAAATAAATACTTATTAATGGTGAAATTGAGGTTTTACTATAAAATCAATTGAAAATATGAAAAGTTATCAAAGATTATATAAGCACATAGCAAACCTTGTCCCTTATAAGTGTGGGACAAATCTCAACACGTTTCCGCACGTGTGGTCGATTTTCAAACCTACACATAGACAACAACTGGGTGGCGCGGAGCGCGTGTGGCTGTTTGGCTTCACAAGAGGACAAACTGGCTCTAATACCATGATGAATTGAGATTCCACCATAAAACCAATTGGTAATATAGAAAGTAGCTTAAGACCATATAAGCATATAACAAACTTTGTACATTCCCAAAGTAAGACAAATCTCAACAACTAACAAATTAAAGCTGGCCGCTATTGGACGCATATATTATAGGGTGAACAGCTTTGTTATGTATCAGGTAGACATGAAGGTCATTTTCTTTGGTTTAGGTGTTCATTAATCATTAGTTCAAGGTCTTCTCGAGATGCTTAAGGTACTGGAATTATTCAACTTTAATTTGTCTAGCTGTATGCTATATTCCAATTTATCATAAATACAGAGATATGAATATTGATAGCTAGATTGAACAACATGGATGACATATTATTTAAAAGGTCGGACGTGTAGCATCACCTATTTTACATAATTTTTTTAACACATTTTTGTGGGTCTCTGTGTAATGTATTTTAATGATTCGAAATATTTATATTTTAAAACAACATTCATAGATTATTCTTACAAAGAATTATGTAAATCTAAAACTATTATGACATTTATTTACAAGGAACAAAATAGACGAATACAATTCTACAAAAAAAATCCTGAACCTTTAATCCAACTGTCATATAGTTTCATATTCGGGTGAGTTTTGGTAGACATGATATTTAAAGAAAGACTTAAAAGATAGATGATTTGAATCGTTAAAATACATTACGAAATATGCTCTACATAAACGTGTATAAATAATTGCATAAACAAATAGTGGTGCGAATACGTTCCTTACTTAAATCTCTTCATTCTGTAACTCGTAGAAGAAGCAAATTCTTTCAGGACAATACAGTCTGCCGGTCCATAGACAAGACTGCTGATTAAAAACAACCTAACAATTTTAATAGTGGTCCTTGAATGACAACCACAAACATGAAGACGTAATCCAAGTGAGTTGGGAGAAAAATATGATTTACTTAGATCGTAGAGATATTCTAAAATTGTTTCCAATCGTAAGATTATTTAAGTGAATATTTGTATTTCGAAGAGATCGGTATATATTATGTCTGCTAAAATTGAGAATGGAGGTCTCTAGCAATTGATTGTAGTGACATTAAGACAAGTATGTACATGTTTTTTTTTTTTAGTACATCGATAATTTTATACTAAGAGGAGGGAGTTCAACTAAGTCATACAATGAGTAACATAGTATTGAATTCGCCATCTACGAAATTCGAACCTAAGACCTCTCACTTCCAAACGAAATGAATTAAAAGAGGTTAAAAATCTTATTCAATTAAAATTTTATATAAATCTATGAAAATTCAGGTGTATTAAATATTAATCAATCAGACCTTGAAAAAAATGTTAATCAATCAAAACTTGATTTTGAAGGAATATAAACGGTGATGTGGATTTCGATGAATTCGAAGAGTTATATATGTATTTTAAGAACTAACAAATCCATCACCTTCTATGAGATTTTAACGGATTTACAGTTCGTAAAAGTTATTATATTGATGAATGATTTGATATGAACTCGTAATTTATAAAATTTAAAAATTATTGCTTACAAGTAAACTAGACTACATAATTTTTAGTGAAAATTTTGGATCTAACATCCCATTGTTTATTTTTTTTGTTGGGTTGTGGGGGATTGTTATCTAGTGAATTTGATATTGCTGCTCGCCAAAAGAAACAGTGGGTGTTTGTGACAGACGACTCCAAATCTGAATTACAATCGGAAGGATAATGTAATTCTCTACTTGCAATCTGCTTCTCTCACCATACATTGACAATGTTTCAAATGCTTCTATAAATTATAACCTCGCAGGATCTACTGTATGTAATATTTCTTCTCAGTTAATTTCAGAACGTCATTGATTCAAATAATTGTGTCAGGCACAATTAATATTTTGAAATACAATACGAAGGTGGCATTTTTTGTTTCTTTTAATCAAAGTTTGAATAGATCGAGTCTAAAAACAAGTTTTAGGTCTGCATTTTATATACCTAAACATATTGTAACCAACAGTTGACACGTATAATCACATAGGTCTTATGTTTGTATTTGCGCTTGGGAACATCCTTCTTGTTTCTTTAATGAGAACTATAATATTTCCATCTTCACTATTAAGTAGTATAACTCATTAAAGCATCTCCAACGTGCTCCTTAGATGAGCTCCTAACTAGAATTTAGGGAGGACTTTAAAAAAAATAAAAAATAAAAAATCCAATCATGCTTCCTATCCACCTCTTAAGATAGAGATTCGTCTTTGAGCTCCTAAATATAAGGAGGGAGAAGGGAGCTCTTAGTTATGGTTATAAAAATTTTAAAACTGAGGTCACGATTGACACATGAAATTGGCTTGACATGCACTAATCGTAGGAATTGGCTTTGGTTGGGGTTTGGGTTGGGTTGGTTCGATTTAGGCCCCTCATTCTTGTGTTTGGACCAAACTTAGATTAGTGTTAAATAGCCCAATTCAGTTCTAGTACAGCCAATCAAACGCCCCCTGAATCTACTGCCCCCTAGTTCTATACCCGGATGGTAACTAGATAGAAGGCAATCGACTCCACATCTACACATGACCATAACAAAATGCAGGCCCTCCTCAGAGGTCCTTGCCTAGAACAAGAAGTTTATCAAGTACCCTTACAAAAGTTGGTTTTCATCTGTAGACATCGAGTCGCGGGGGTTACTATCATACTAAAATTGTTGTCACCATTTACCACTCTTGTTTTGTGTTTTGATCTTCTACGTTTCCTGTTTACAGGTTGGGTTTTGTAATCTGACCAAGAGAGAAAAGGACGAAACGAATTACCTTTGGGTAGCTGAAGCAACAGAAAATTCAGCTTACATTTTAACTTCTGACAATCCACGTCGTTCTCATCTCAAAGATGCTGCTGCCTCTAGTGAAAGATGGAAAAGGATGTCTAGCTTGGTCTCGATTTTGAAACTTATGTGCAGTTAATCGTACTATCTATGTTGTTCTCTACTGAATACTGATCGGTTTTCTTTCATGACGCAGAATACCAACAGGCTAAATGAGAGGGTTCTATAATTCTATTTATTACTGTGGCAAGTAAATGATAGGCGGTGAAAGTAGCTGATTTCAGTTATTTGCAGTGTAAGTCTCTTCATGTACCGCTCTTCTTTGACATCGATGAGGGGCGATATCATTAGCTTCACAGTATAGTTTGAGTTAGCTTCTGTTCCTTAAATATATGCTTTTGAAGATCGATGTCTGACTGATTTCCTTTTCCGCAGATTTTGGTCACCGACATCCAAATCTAATCGGTACAAGTTTTGTCTTGGGAGTAACTGTTAAAAGCATGAATGCTGGGAAGAAGGTAGCCAGAGCTTTCTAACTTTGGTCGCCATTTTTGTTTTGTTGTTACTCATGCTCTCTCATATGGTGACCGATTGCTTAGTGACCAAGGCATTTCCCAACTTGTATCTCGTCTCTCTCGCGTGATGTGGGACTCAGTGAGATTATCGAACATCCGAACATCTATTTCTATACAATTTGCTCTCGAATACTCGACTAACTTAGGTATCGGAAGACCATTGATCGGTACCAGAATAATGTCCCCCACGACATGCTCCATCACACTGAGCTGGTTTGGAAGAATTGCATAACATTTAATCTTGAGAGGTAACCTTGCTATTAAGCCAATTTTAAACATCAACATGACTTATAAGCACTTTTAAGTTAACTGCTTTTCTCACAAATTATTCGTAAGAGGATCTCTAAGAGTATGCAAATGCAGCAAAAATTCGAGTCTGAATATTTTTCGAAAAATTGGAACGGAAATCTGAATGCATTTAGTAATTATGATAATTATGAATTTTCGATCTGAAACTTTATAAAGAGTTCAGAACTTATACCTAAAAAAACTACCAAAAACTTCCCATTTCTATGCATACTACAAAATTACTTGAATCTATACATAACATATACCAAATATTTAGAAAGAAAAATTAATTACATATAAAAAAATTGAGAATATTAAAAAAACTTGTAAAACATATGAAATTCTGAAAATTTCAAATTTAAAAATTGTGTTACCGATTCGATTGTGAAATTTCAAATAGGAAATTGGAAACGTGTTTCCCGATCTAATCCTTCTAAGAAAAGTTTACTTATTCCCTCCAAGTAGCCAACTTCAAAAGTAATTTGTCACATCCTGGCCCAGGGGAAAACACTTCCCGGCACCGCTCCACCACCGTAGCATGATATTATCCGCTTTGGGCCCCGACCATGCCCTCACGGTTTTGTTTTTGGGAACTCACGAGCAATTTCTCAGTGGGTCACCCATCATGGGATTGCTCTAGCCCCCTTCTCGCTTAACTTCGGAGTTCCTACGGAACCCAAAGTCAGTGAGCTCCCAAAAGGCCTCGTGCTAGGTAGAGATGAGAATATACATATAAGGATCACTCCATTGGGTGATGTAGGATGTCACAATCCACCATTCTTAGGGGCCTGACGTCTTCGTCGACACACCACGCCCAGGATTAGGCTTTGATACCAAATTGTCACATCCCGGCCCGGGGGAAAACACTTCCCGGCCCCGCTCCACCACCGTAGCACGATATTGTTCTCTTTGGGCCCCGACCACGCCCCAAAACGGACAATATTGTGTTATGGTGGTGGTAGTCCCGTGAGCCAGCCAATAGAGTAAGGAATAAGAAAAAGGACTTGGCGTAAAGCTTTCATTCAAGTAGGGGCAGTTTTGTTTCTAGGAATCGCACGAGAACTTCCCAGTGGGTCACTCATCATGGGAGTGCTCTTGCGTGTTACTCGTTTAACTTCGTAGTTCCCATGGAACCCGAAGCCATTGAGCTCCTAAAAGGCATCGTGCTAGGTAGAGATGAGAATATACATATAAGGATCACTCCCCTAGGCGGTGTGAGATGTCACAAATTAGTTAGTTGGGGTATTTTGATCCAGGTCTAAAAAATTGAACTGTTTTTAGATTGAGTAAAACTTCATTTGATTTTGATTACATCCATTCTGCCCTTTAAAAATAAAAATATATTTAAGTTCCTTAAATTTAAATTTTGAATTTTGAATTTTGAATTTTGAATCCTTAAATGCGTTTATTTACCACAAATCTTATAAGAAATATTTTAAAACCTCATATACAAAAAATCTTGTAAGTTTAACAAAAATTAAAAAGAAACATTGTGAGAGGTTGATTAAAAACAAAATAAAACACGAGATACGGCGGGAAGAAGAGTCTGAAAAGAAACAATCTTTAACTCTTTTCGTTAATCCTATAATTAAGCACAAGATAATTACAAAAATTTAAGAAAAGATAATTATACATTAATTTACTGATCAACTTAGGGGTTAAATTGGTAAAAGAATAAATTAATTAGACCTGGACAATGAATTAGTGGACCTAACCCAACAATCAAACAAAATTGGATTATACCTAATATTCATTCACAAAATTGGACTCATCAAATTTTCCCTTGGTCGTATTACATTTTACAATAGAATATCATATTTTTTGCAACTAAACTAAAGTCTTAGTGACGTTATTTTCCCGATAATTACTTATCACGTGTTTAAAAAATACACAATTAATTTTGAACACTTATCAAGTGATAAAACCAATGACAAGAGAGTATCTTATGTCAGATCCCACATACTTCTCTTCTAGTACCAAATACATTTTACAATAAAATATCATTGTCATTTATTATTGAAAAGATTTTTTGCAACTAAAATAGAGTCTTAATGACGTTATTCTCCCGATAATTACTTATCACCTGCTTAAAAAATACGCAACTAATTTTTGAACACTTATTAAGCGATAAAACAGGTGACAAAAGAGTATATTATGTCAGATCCCACATACGTCTCTTCTAGTAAGACCAAATCCAACCTTGGACTAAATGCTATTTTTTAGGTTTTATTCCCCTCAATCCAACTCAACCCATGCTAAATGTGTGGGTTAAAAGCTAAAAGCCAAATTCCTCCTCCCATGATTTAGCCTAGAAAATGGTGTGGGCACCACCAACGGAACCCCATCCACATGGGCATGTCTCACAGAATTTATTGAATCTAACGGCTGAGATCGAATCTAATCAAATTTAATGGTAAAAAAAAGGTCTAACGACCCAAATTTAAATTCAACGGCTAAAATAATAAAAAATATATATTTAACTTAAAATTCATCCAAATTTAGTAGTTTTTCAATATTTATGAAAATTTAAGTACTTTTAGGTTAAAAATTTTCATAAAATTAAATTATGATAGTGAACATAATTTAAAAAAAAAATTACTTTAAAGAAAAACTTAGCCTAAATTTATTCTTTAATATAGTCTCTTTAAGGAAAGCCATTAGATTTGACTTTAATGAAATTTTGTGGTTGAAATTAAATCACATGCCACAAAATCTTAACTACAGGATTTCATTAAAACCAAATCTAAATGTCAAGAGGGTGTCCCTATTTTTTTTTTTTTTGAAAAATGAGAATCCCTTCCTTTAAAGGCTTCGTTCTTTAATAATCTCAGGCTCAAGAATTTAAATCATAACAATTGGAGTAAAAAAATTGTTTATGAACTAAAAATTTTAGGTTGTAGACTAAAGATTAGAGATGGTCCAAACGAAAAGTTGTGCAATTGTGCCGCATAATTCTTCAGAGGGACCATTTTTTATATAAAATATAATATGGAAAACGCTACATAGATTGTGAAAGTACAGTTTTTTCTCTTCATCCTTCGTCCTTCAGATTCGCCTGTTTGAACTCACAAATTTTGAAAAAAAATACAATAAAAAGAAATGAATTGAAGAGGCGAAAACAACATGTGGCAATCTGCTGTTGGTTGGTAGATTGCCAAATTGCTGCGGTGTGACGGTTACAGACAGCCACCTGCCGCCGCTTATAAAGCGTTTCATTCTGCTCCAGAGAGGGACGGAGGCAGAGGCAATGTCAGTGGGTTACTGTATTATGTCATTGGGAGTGAGCGAGTCAGTTACAGAGTGACTCAGGCCCCTGGGACCGAGTTAGTGAGTCAGTGAGCGGCTCCACTGCCGGAGTTTGGAGTACTGAAAAAAGAAGACGACTTTTTGATTTAGGGACCCGAATGGATCCCTTCAGTTGGATGGCGGAGCCGAGTCCTGGTTCGGGTCCGAGTCCGAGTCCGAGTCCTGGTTCGCGTCCGATTCCGAGTCCATTCAGAGGAAGCAGCAAGCGGCCGCGGTCGAGGAAGCAACAGGATTTTGATTTGGAGGGGTGGGGGTCGAGGCGGCTGTTTCAATTTCTGGAATCGATCGGGAGGGACACGACCCACAAAATCTCCCAATACGACGTCGAATCGATCATCACCGACTACGTGAAGCAGCATCAGCTTCAGCACCCGACCAAGAAGAAGAGAATCGTCTGCGACGACCGCCTCTTCCTCCTCTTCGGCCGGAAAACCATCGGCCGTGTCAAAATCTACGAGTTGCTTCAGCAGCATTTCGCCGACAACATGGAGGACGATTCCTCTTCTGACGACGACAGCGACGGCAACGACCGCCCCCTAAACATTAATCTCAATGTCAGTGCAGAACAGGTAGAAGAAGACTACGGCGACGGCAATCATCGGAAGCAGAAGAAAAAAAAGACTAAGAGATTCACGGAGGAGGGTGGTTTTGGATTGGGATTGGGAATGGGAGTGGGAGCGGGAGCGGAGCGGAGTGGGAGTGGGACCCCCAAAAAGCTGCTTTGCGGCGGTGATTCCGGAGAACATAAAGTTGGTGTATTTGAAGAGGTCTTTGGTGGAGCATCTTCTCCTCAATGAGGAAAAGGAGAATGAGGGTAAGGTTGTGGGAAGCTTTGTGAGAATCAAGTCGGACCCCAATGACTACTTGCAGAAAAACTCTCACCTGCTACTCCAAGTTACTGCTCTCAACAAGCCGCCCGCCGCCTCCTCCTCCTCCGGAGTTCTTCTGCTTTGCCTTTCCGGCCTCGCCCTCGTCAAAGAGGTCCCAATCTCGCAGCTTTCCAATGATAACTTCACGCAGGTATTCATTTCTTCATAAAGTCCCGGTCTTGCTGAAAATGTAGGAAATGCTAACAGACAATCTCCGAAATGTTTTATTGATCATTTCTGTTGCAGGAGGAATGCGAGGATTTGCGTCACAGAATAAAAGAGGGCTTGCTCAAGAGCCTTACAGTGGTAACTTTCATTGATTTTTCCCTTTAAAAGTTTCTGTTCTGTTGGAGTTGATGAAAATGTAGTCAGTATTCCGGAAACATTGAAGAAACAATGCCCGTCAAGAAGCATTCCCCTCCCTCTTCCCCCGGTTACAGGCCCCATAATTTGCCTTCTTTCAATGCCCTAAAACAGTTGTATTCCTTTGGTTTAATAGGTGTCGCTGGCATACTGATATGAAAATCAGTTGGTCAAATGTACTTTTATCATAGATGTCCCTGAAATCAGATAATGAGTTGGGCAACATGTCTCGTGTTTCATATTTTTGTCATGTTTAAGTTTCACGTGTATTTAGTGGCTTGTAACGGTCTCGTCTATCTCTAGTCTTGTAGCCTGGCCCTGATGAACCGGACATGGAAACTTTTTGGAAACAAGTGTTGAATGCGCTTAAGGGAGAAACTAAATCATTTATTCTGTTTGGTTTAAGTGAGGTTAGATGGATGCAAACTGTGCTGAGGATCTTACTAATAGGTTTTTTCGTTAATGTTCTGTCTGTCGGAGATTCTTTTATCATTCACTGCAGTAGTTTTTACCGCAGTCTTTTGTGGTAAGCTGTCCGTTTCTGATCCTAGTGGCTAGGAAGATACATTAGAGTTTTTGAACGGTATAACGCTCCATTGTAAAAGCGAAGGCTCAGATATTGAGGTGGCTGTTTGAGTGATGAATTAGGGCACCTCTTTTCTTAGCTCACTTTTTGTTGGATTTTGTTTTGAACTTTACCTTTTGAACTCTAATAGTTTTCTGTATAAGTGAAATTTTTATTATCCTATTAAAAAGGAAAGAAGGCACCGAATTGGCGAATAATAAAGTTTCTCCTACGAACGCTTCACTATGACATCGAGTTTGATTCGTAATGGAATATATATATATATATATAGGTTTAGGGTTTAGGGTTTGATTCGTAATGGAATTTATATATTTTTTAACGGAAACCACAGTTTTATTAATTACAGGAGTATGTATCAGAGATGTGCTTTGAAAGTATCTGCTAATGTTTACTAAGCTAGTCCTAAATAAAATACTTCTCAGAGTATTACATAGGACTTGGTCTGCCTAACCTCATGTTAAGCACCGTAGTGCAAAGAGGTTGCAGGTGGGCAGCATTGTGAGGCCACCATGAAGCAAAGATATTCATTGCTTGAAATAATACAAATGGAATAAAGACTATAATTTGTTGTTCAATATATTAGCAGATGCTAATTTTTACCACCCTAGACGGCATAGTACCCTTTATAATCATTACTGCTAATTTGTGGATTCTCTTCTCCATGAACATAGTCAGCTGCTGAGCATTGTAATCTTGGTTTTCTTGGTGGTAGACTTCTATTTCTCTTGACCGTTATATTGATTAATCAGATATTTTTTTTCTGACAAACATATTCTCTCTAGTTTTTTTCCTTCTATTCTTTATGTTTCACTACACGTGCAATCTTGTTAATAAGCTTGTTCTACTTTTGACAGGTGGAGCTTCAGCAGAAGGTCCGGATATTGCATGAGGATATAATGAAGCATGTAAGTATTCAATTATAGATAGATTTATGTGTGTCACGGTGTCACCAAATGAATCTGTCCCCATGAATTATAGCCCATGTGCACTTTGCCCCATGAATGAATTTGGACTCACTTGCTCTTGAAATTTCACCCCATGTTTTAAATTCTCCCTGTTGTAATATGTTGAAGTTTCCGACAATGTTCATAAATACTTTAAATAAACGATAAACAATAAATACCCTAAATAAATGAAACTCTCCTCTCGCTCGTCCTTCCTTTCTCTCTTTTTTCTTAATGATAATAGATACTTGGGGGCAATGTGCGCTGGTGCACACTTTTGGGCAACCTTATGGAGGAAGAAAATATCTCCTTCAATGCACAACTCACGAAAAGTTTCCATTTTACACCTTACAATACCCTTTATTTGTAATGAACAAATGAGGACATCTGATAATGAACACCCGGTTTCCACTAGTGAAAGTTGTGAAACCTAAAAACGGTTTAGATCGTTGGACAAAATTTGTGGTTGGGTGCTAACAATGTCCCTTGTTTTAGCCAAATGAAGGAATCCCTTAATAGAAGGATATGATATACTGTATTCGCATAATACAGGTTCTAGCATAGCCCCATTAGGGGCAGTCGATGCCCATTGAAATTTTTTAGCGTGAGCTTTTGCATTAATCATGAAATTGTAACATTTAACTATGTTATTCCTAATATTTGTAATACTTTAAAAAACATTGAACTTAGATGGATCAATTCGTTGAACCCATTGCAGAGTAGTGGCAGTAGCCCAACAATACAATCCCCTTTGACCTGTTAAGGGACTCCACATACAAACTCTCTCTCTCTCTCACACACACATGAGAATGTTCTCATGGCGGACAGTCTGGAAACATAAGATTCTTATGAATCTTAGGATGCCAGATTATGTAACCACCTTTTGTCTCCATACTTTGAATTTGAATCGTTGATCAGGTTGAGTTTTGTCTGAATATGTGACCTAAGCTCGCAACATGTTTGTGGGTTGCACTGTCAGAGCCACCTGAAGTCCAATGTTCCAGGCTGTCTAATGTTTATATCTTTATTTAAGAACCATCCTTGCAAAAAGTTAGCATATGGGAGATTGTTTGATCATCTGATTGTCATCCTGAATATTTGTAAAGATTGTGTTCTTCTATCTATTTGTTGATAATTAAATGACTTTGTAGTATTCGATCCTTGAATAGAAATTTAACAAATGGACGGTTCATATCATTGAATCGTATTGATGTTTGAGGTTACATACATCTTTTGAGGTTTTTATGATTATTCTTAAATGGTGGATTCTATCTAAATATATAGCAAGTTGCTGGATATGAATGAATAACCCAGGCTGCTTAACAGAAATTGTGTTTGTTTAATAGTGTGATCTAGTATTCTGAATTAAGTAATTTAGTTGTTATTTAGTTTCAGATTGTGATGACACTTGTATTCCATATAATTTACCATTTGATCTAAGGTACATATCTGAGAATGTTTCTTAATTTGGACAATATGTGTTCTGTATATATTAGCTCTACAAAACATTTTTGCAGTTCTGCTGGGTTCTTATTTCAGCGACTATTCAAACAAGACTTTGCAGTATTTGATTACCTTTTACTTATTTAATATTGGTGCCTCCTTCAACAAAAAAAAAATATTGGTGCCTCCATTGTTGGGCTAGACACTACTCACCTTGGACTTTCTTCTGATGCCTATGATGTTAAGTGGAGGTTGATTGTGTGAAACTTTCTTCATCTTGTGGTGGATTTGTTTCAGTGGCTTGCGAGAGAACTTGCATTGTTACAGAACCAAATTGATAGAGCCAATGAAAAGGGATGGCGTCGAGAATATCCTTTCAAAATATCTTCTTTTATATTCCATAATATGTTACCTAATTTGCAGAAGTATTGCCCAATCAACCTTTTAACATTGAAATAATCTTCTGATTGAATCCTTAACTTGGTTGATATTTACGCTGTTTGAGTACTTGGAAAGAAGGCAATTGCTTCAGACTCCAGATGAACAGGCACGGTTGTTGCGTGAGGTTCCAGAAGTCATTGCAGATGAACTAGAGATCGAAGATGCACCGAAGGATTGTGCAGATGAAATACAAGAAGAGAATCGAAGTTCAACAAGAGATATCATAAAAGGAGCCTCAGAAGCTCCTGTTTGTGATATACCAGCAGAGAAAAATCTATTAACTTGGACTGCAACTGGCATAATTTCTGAAGGTGCGTTCTCAAGAATATGAAAACTTCTGTCTTATGTATTCTAAACCATGCATCTCAACGTATCAACTTCTGGGCATCTGCACCTATGGCCAATTGGCTTTGGATTGGATGCTCCAAGTTAACATGGTATAGAAGCAGGCAATTCATCAATATGTCAAGCCCAGGTTGGCCAGACATGCCCCACATCTCTCAGTATAACCTAATCTTGGACCCATGAATATTAATTTTTAAGAAAGGCTCCAGAAAGTTTGGATCATTTGTTATTGCATTGTCCGGTGGATTTTTTTTTTTTTTTGGTGGACTAGGAGGCAGATTTATGTTGGTCCATACCGAGACCGTGTAGGGAGCTTAAGGTTTTTGGTGGAAAGAAAAAAGGGGGTAGTGCTAGGGAGGTGTGCTAGGAGGTGGAATGCTTATGGGAAAGGGTGCGTTTTTGGGCTTCTTTGTGCTGTGAAAAGTTATCGTTTCTATTATTTGGTTGGAAAGCCTCTGTACTGTAGGAAAGTGCTCTTTTTCTAGTGGATGCAGTTATTTGTGCACAGCGGTTCTAATCTTTGGCTCAAAGAGTGTTTCCCATCTATCTTTTTGTCACTGTATTTAATTATTATTGGGTGTAGGGTTCAAAAAAGAAACTAATATTGATAAATATAAGGAAAAAAAAAAACATTTATAAAAGCAATTAATCATTGATCTTTATCCTCGTGATTATTCTGCAGCAAAAGTGCATGGTATTTCCTGGCAAGAATGGAAGGAACAACCAACAGAGCCCATAAAGACGAGCAACGGTGAGAAAAAGCATGGAACTCTTGACACCAAGGGCTTTCAGGAACTGGTGGGTAAGCTGGTACCGACATCTCAAGAACAACCAACAGAGTCCATAAAGAGGAGCAATGGCGAGAATAAGCATGGAAGCATAGACACCAAGGGCTTGGATAAGCGGGTACAGGCACCACAGGTAATTGATTTAAGTGACGATGAAGATGAAGAGCGATGCGACGGAGAGAGGATCTTTGCTGACCAGCTGGGAAGCTCGATATGGCATTATTTTGATCCCCAAGGAAACATACAGGGTCCATTTTCAATTGCTTTGTTGAAGGCCTGGAGTGATGCGGACTACTTTCCTCCCGACTTCAAAATTTGGAAGGCAGGTCAGAGCTCAAATCAAGCCGTATTACTGCAACACATTCTTCAGCAGAATTATCCAAATAAAGTTGCAAAATATTAAGATTTGGATATCCATTAGGTCATAGTTCATTTGTTAGTCGTGGTCTATAAGGCATACTGTCACTGAATAATTTAGTTTTGTGTTTTTTTCTTCTGATTTCATGTCATGTAGGGAATGTTCATTAGCAAATTAAATTGATGTTCCAATTTTCTATGCCTTGATATGGTACATTTGGTTGTTGCCTGTGATGACGATAGAAGGAGCTTCCTGGCTGTCGTCGTGGGTGATGAATTTTTGGTTTTGGATCCTTGTTTGCTGGATATATAACTGATGACCTTTTTGCACTGGGAACTTGTTGAGATTTCAGATGATTTAATTTGTGCAGGTAAAGGTTTTGAATATGCAATGCTAATTCGTTCTATGGAGTTTGACTACAGTACAATGCTGCATTTTTTTATCATAAGTTTTTTTTTTTGTTGTCAGATTAATTTCGTAATTTTTTTTGATAATTATTGTCCAAAAGGAAATAATTAAGCGTACATAAGTATGGTTTGTTAAACACGCTGCGTGATTCAAAAAGGGGGTAATGGCTAGTGTTTTACAAAATGTCCCTCGAGGCGTGCCTAGGTGGCTTTGGAGGCGTGGTCGAGGCATGCCCTTGGGCGTTTTGAGGCGGTTGTAATCCTTGTTTAAAATTTTTGAAGGTTGGGCCTCAGCGTTCTGGATTTTTGTTTTTGTTTTTATTTTTATATATATATATATATATATATATATATTGTAATCAATTGCAACGGCAACGTCTTCACTAAAAAGACGATTGCGTAAAAGAATATTTTTCTTAAGACTTGGCCTGAAACAACATTGTTTTGGTCAAGTCTTTAACTTTTTTTAAATGACTTGGTCTAAAACGACGTCTTTCTGACTTAGTCTATTTTTTTTTTTTTATTACCCACAGCAGTTCCTAATTGTTTAGGTCCCCTAAAGCTGAGCCTCAAGCCTGAAGGCTTTTGTCTAGGCGGAGTAATCTATGAAATGTCTTGGTTTCGCTTTTTAAAACATTCGTAATGGACACTAGGATTAAGGGGGTTGAGCAAAAACAGACTATAATTGAGAAGGAACAGAATGCTAAAAGAGAACCAAAAACTGAGAATTAAATGACAAATAATTAAGTTGAAATTAAGCATATAAATATTATATAAGGAAACTAATTGTTATTCGTTTTGACTTGATTTGGGAGATGTTAAAGGGAACAAGGTAAGGAGTTCTAGTGGCCTGCCCCCTCTAGGTGATGGATGCATGTAAAATCTCCTCTCTTGGATGGCTTTCTCTTCTTCTTTTTCCTGTTCTTGTTCTTGATGATGAGCATTCATTACTGCTTGATGATGATGGTGGTGGTGGTGGTGGTGGTGATCCGACGATCCAGATGTCATCTTTAGCGTCGGTGATGACGACCCTAATAACAACAGTTTTTTTTCTTCAAGTTGTTCCTGCTGCAGAATGGACAGCTTTGAGAACATTGTACTTGGGCTGAGTACTGATGGGGACGGCGGTTTGGAATGGAAGGTGGTGGTTGTGGGTTTAACAATCTCGAGTTTGGGCCTCATCTTCGCACATTGCCTTCTCTCATGGAGTTTGCTTGTCGAAGAAGAAGCCGCCACCTTCCTAGTACTACTGTTATTAATCGTATTGTTGGTGGTGGTGTTCTTGTTCTTCCCTAGTACTTGTGGTGTAGCTGTTTCATGATGATGCTCCCCGCCGCTGCTGCTGCCGCCTGTTAAACGCTGCACTATTTCTCGGAAAGTGTTTGCGTCTGTTTGGACAAATGTGGTCGATGGACTGGTGGTGCTAGTTGTGCGTAATTCTGACGTGGCCATCGACGCCGATGGACTGGATTTGTGAGAAATTGACAATGTTGAACAAGTAGGAATAAAATTAGGGAGAGATTAAGGAGATGTACAGAAGTTAATGTATATAATTATTATATATAAGAAAGAAAGAAATTAGTTGAAGGAAGAGTGCTAAAAATGAAGGCATGGTGTGGCTGGCCTACACTCAGAACAGAAGCCAATTAAGGCAGTGAGGGAAGGAGGACAGGCAAGGCAAGGCAAACAAAACTATCTACCAGATTTGCTTAATTTGTTTTAACATTTTCCATTTTTGGAGGATTTTACCACTAATCACCCTGTCGTGTTGACTATTGACTTGGCTTTTTTTTTTTTTTTTCATAACCAATTGTTGACTAGTAAAAGAGCAAATGAGTCATGCTTGTTGGTTGGTTTCATTTCCATTTTTAGTCTAATTATTTATGAAAAATGGACACCGAAAAATTTACGTGATTCTACTGTACCTTTGTCCATGGAACAACAGTAGAAACTTCTTCCACAATATCAAATAACTGGTACAACAAGAGCTACCCTAGACTCGATGAACATAGGAGAGTACAAGAACAACAATCTCACACACTTAACAGCATGTTTGTTAATGCGTGATCGGAATGAAATAAGAAGTGAATTAACAAAAATCTAATTTAAATTAAAATTGTTTACTTAAATTATGTGGAATCAAACTAGGATGGAATTGATTTTATTTAAATTGTTTGCCAATTCACCTTACTCAAAATGGAAACAAATATGATTGCTAAATTGTCGTTATTATATATGGATGTTAATTAATTATTTTATATAATAACTATTTAGTCATTACTTTACATAGTAATTAATAGGGAAAAAAAATCCCATATTAAAATTGGGATAGGGAGAGCTTTAGAGCATATTCAAATGAAATGTCAAAAAGTCTACATCAGCAATTACGGTAAAAAGAGATATCACTAGTGTTTTCCAACCAAAATATCAATTCCTATGTAGCACGACATGGAAAGGCAGCATGTGAAGTTGCTGTCAAATTTGACAGCAGCTTCAAATCTATTTTTAGAAACTAATAAATGTTTTTAATAATTTTTGTACTTATCTTTGGTTTTAAAATACTAATTACAAACTTACAACTATAAAAAGTAAATAATGTAATAAATAATTGTGACGACCCGTCCCAAATTATAATATATTTTATTCTCGAGTGCGCTGAAATGACTATTTTGTCCTTGTGGGCCTTGTGACGTGGATGTATGTATATGGTCTTCAATCATTTTTCCATCGACATGAGTAAGTGGTATTCGACGTTACGAGAACGTGGATGCAAACTAGGGTCGAGTCGAGTACGTAATGGAGATGTTGTAAAAGAATAAAGGAATTGGGTTGGGTTTAATTGCATGAATCCAAAGCATGTAGCCCAATTAGGGCTTGAGGCCATTTTAATATGGCCAACCTGTGGCCACACACACACGCACACACGTGCAACCTGCATCCTCTCTCTCTTTCTCGAATTTTCTTCCCAGTCCGTATAACCGAGAGCATTCACCCTCAAACTAAACCAAAACTCTACGGATCGAACTTGGTGTTTCTAGATTCTTATTCTTCTCGAACCCTAGAACACGGTGATACCTTTTGTTAAGTGGTTTGACTTCGAAAACCCGTGCCGTGACTCCATAAGCTCCGGCGAGGGGTGTAATTTTCTCCGACGTGATCGTGAAGGTTTTAGCTAGTTTTGGGACTTAATAAGGTACTATTCTTGCTCCACTAGCAATTTGTAACAATTTTAGAGCAATTTTGACGTTGGGACACTCAGGTTTATCGAGTTGCAGATTTGGCTGGATTATCGAAGAATTTTCCGACCATATACTGTTGATTTTAGGACTCTAAATAGGTAAGAACATGTTCTACTCATTTAGAGCTTCATTTGGTAAAATTTTCATGAAAATTGGTTGAAAAACGAAGAAGATATTAAGGTTTAAGAATTTTCCAGTTTTCAACGACGCAAACGACGGTCGACGACAGAATCCGACGAACCACCGGAGAATACAGAGCATATTCCGTCAACTTTGACGGAATATTCTTAACGGCGTTAGGTATATTTAATGGAATATCCTATTATTTAACGGCATATTCCCTAACGGTGTTAGGGTTACCGTCAACATGCAGGCACGTGACCGCGCGTGGCCAGCGTGTATAGCCACACCTTAGCCGGTGCGTGAGGGTGCATGGGACGTTGAAAAATTATTCTATATGGGGATGCTCAGGGTGTTGAGTAGGCCACGATAGTATATTCAAACACCCAATTGAGCAACGTATGAGAAGTTATTTCATAGTGATGGTTATGTGCTTAAAAATAACATTAAAATAGTTGTTTCACATATAAGTGAGACGTTTTCATAGGACAAGTGCAGCCAGGCGAGACTTGGGGGTTACGACCCGGGTACATGTCACATCCCGGCCTGGACCCTCACCACATCCCGAGTTCGACTCTACCGTAGCACAATATTGTCTATTTTGGGCCCCGACCATGCTCTCATAATTTTGTTTTTGGGAACTCACACGAGAACTTCCCAGTGGGTCACCCATCCTAGGATTGCTCTCAAGCGAACTCGCTTAACTTCGGAGTTTCTACGGAACTCGAAGCCAGTGAGTTCCCAAAAGGCCTCGTGCTAGGTAGAGATAAGAATATACATATAAAGCTTACAGGATTCACTTCCCTGGGCGATGTGGGATGTTACAATCCACCCCCCTTAGGGGCTTAATATCTTTGTCGGCACACTTCCAACCAGGGATTGGTTCTGATACAAAATTGTCACATCCCGACTTGGGCCCCCACCACATCCCTGTTCGACTCCACTGTAGCACGATATTGTCCGCTTTGGGCCCCGACCACGCCTTCATGGTTTTGTTTCTGGGAACTCACACGAGAACTTCCCAGTGGGTCACCCATCCTGGGATTGCTTTTGCCCGAACTGGCTTAACTTCGGAGTTCCTACGGAACCCGAAGCCAGTGAGTTCCCAAAAAGCCTCATGCCAGTTAGAGATGAGAATATACATATAAGACTTACAAGATCCACTCCCCTGGGCGATGTGGGATGTTACAATACATACCAGTGAGTGGGCTTTTGGGTTACACACACACACACACACACACACACATACATATTTATGCCTTATGTTTCCCATAAACTGTTTAAATGGTTTTTACGTTTTAAATGCCATGTCGTATGCATTACATATTAGAATATGCTTTAATATAGTTGTGCATATTACTACTCAACATTGTGGATGCTCAGGTAAGCTTCAGGTGAGTATATGGTGATGGTTGTGATGGTAGTGTATATGATTATGATGAGTTGCTTTTAGCGATTTATATCCTGCACCCTGGTGTTAGTGCTTCGCCCAAGGGTAAGGCCTAGCCTTCACGTGATCATTCACCTCCCACACCATACGCGCACCTTGGATCCAAGGCAGGTGCCAGCCTGTCATACATACCACATTAGGTGGTTCCGACTCATAGGTGACTTGCGATACTTCACACAGCCTTCACATGATCGTAGCACTTGAGCGTACTTATTTACACCTAACCTGTCGTACAGACTACATAGGTGGTTCCGACTAGTGTGCAGGATTTGATTTGATTGTTGAGTTATAAATTCAATCGTACATGTCACGTTAGGTGACTCCGACTGATACGTCACTTTATATTAGTGCAATTCACCTGGCTTCCTTTTTCATGGTTGAGATGATTGTCATGGCATACACATGGTTTGGTTATTCTCGAGTATAGTTTTCATATATGTTTACAGTATTATTTTCTGGGAAACTTATACTGGTTTTATAGTGAGGGTTATTACATTTGAAAAGATAAATGGTTTTGAAAGTTTTGTTTTTACCCACTCACACTTTCTGTTTTACGCCCCTCCAGGTTCTAGATAGAAGTTCGTGTCAGTGGCTCTCGAGGACTTCACGGCGGTTTTGGCAGACATTCACCAGTGTAGGGTTTCTTTTATGATCTGTATAATTAGTAATTAAACTTCTGGACTGCATTCTGATACCTACGCTCTGGTTATGTGTGTCCTTTACTCTAAACATTTTCACTCGCACTGTTATGTTAGTATAGTGTAATTAATTAGCAAGTTTTTATTTATCCGTATTTTCATATCACGTTTACTTCCGCACATTGCACATGACTATGTCACCCTCACGTGATAGCCAACATGCCTCGATTGGGATCGGGACGTGTCATAATGGTTTAAATTTGACATATCAGTTAGAGAACAAAATTTAAAAATAAAAAAAAAAATCAATGTGCCACATAAGCCTTCAAATTTAAATTTTATGTTTAAAATTTGACATCTTCTTTGAAAATGATCTTATTCATCCAACGTGCATTGTGCATGATGCATTGACCAACAAAAATGCATGAACCAGCCCCACTTCATTCTCCAATGACGCCAATTCTTAATGAAGGAATTTCCACCGAGTTACTTTGAATTGTTCACGTGTTCCAAGCAGAAACCACTCTTTTATTATCATTCATGCTCCTTGATGAAAAAACAATTATTATAAATTCTAGCAACAGGAACACACGTAATGCGTTAAAATTAGTTTCGAAAAGAAATACCAAATATTGAATAGAGAAACAAATATTGGATAACACTTGCATCATTCATGGGGAAATGTACATATCTCACAATTTACGAATTATTTATTAACAGTATAAATTTCATATTTTGAACCTTTAAATCTTGTAATTTTCATTTAAAGATATTTTTTTAATATAAAAAAATCATTTAAATCAAAAATCATTTAACCATTAACATGTATAAAAATATTAGACGGTTGATGATGTTACTTAGCACTCACACTTCTAATCTGTTTCATACATTTGAATGTATAGACAATCTTCAATTCAAATGTTTATTTGAATTTGTTCAATAATAATTTAAAAAGTTTAACAGTCTTGATTATTAAATTTATAAGATGAGAATATAATACAACAAAAGGTGAGATACATGTGTTCTATGCGATTATCCAAAAATATTTATAACAAGGAGTCGCGGTTCACGGGGCCACCAGACAGGTTTTGGCGGGAGTTGTTGATCCCTCAATCGTCTCCCCATGTTGTTTTAAAGCGCCCAAACCCAAACCCTACCCTCAGACCAAGGAAGGAAGCAGAGATAAGAGATATGGCGACTCCGAGCTCAGCCAAGAAGTCGTACGAGAACGCCAAAGCAGAAGGGAGCCGTCGGTAACATGTTGAAGAAGAGAGGGCATTAGGCGGAGGCCCTCAAGTGGCCAACATCGACTGCCATCTTTCTGTCAAGTACTTGTGCCAAACGTATTTCCTCCCCGCCTGGCGCTTGTCAGTCTATCGGCGAGCTCTATCCTTGCCTCGAGGTTTTCCACACGCTCTTCTTTTTCAGGTATACATTTTGGCTTATGGCTTTTGGCTTTTCAGTTGCATTCAATCTTCACATATTTTCAGTTATTGAGTTGAGAATTTTGTGGTGGTTTGCGTGCTAAGAAATATGGGGAAACAGAAATGTTTTTAAGATCTTGTAGAGCAGCAAAGAGCGAGTACTCAACTAGGTCGAACCTGTCATAAAATGTTTTTAAGATCCGAGGATGGTCGTTACTATGTTCACATCAACGCTCAAATTTATTCTTCATGTTTAACTGCAAATTTATTACCATGAAATATAACTGTATTCTTCATATATAATTAAATTTGTTCCTGCCTTTATTGTGAATTTATTTTTTAGCTCTGTGAGTTTGCAAACATGAAGAAGATAATAGCAAGTGAACTTGATGACAAAGAAAGGGTCAGCGATTCATTTTGGTTAATGAAGAAACATACGAGAAGCTAAGAGAGTTCGAGAAAGCGCTTGAGTGGTACAGAATGAATTGGAGAGTACCGGTTAATTGGTGACTTGGAGGTACTGTTGGCATTTTCGATAACATTGTACAACACGCCTTGTGTTTTGTTCTTTTTAACAAAGAAATATCATAGGTAGGATTAACAAAAATGCTTTTATAATTTTCTTAATGTGAATTAACATGATTTGTACTCTTTTCCGTTTGGTAGATGCTTACGCTTACGCATAATCGCTATCCTCAGGGGCAAACATTAGCTAAAATTAATACAGGTAATGTTCTTGAGAGCACTAACAATCGGCAAGGAGCATTAGAGGCGTACAAAGAAAGCTGCAGGTATGGTTTTTCTAAAGAGTTACTGCATTCATGCTTGTGGTTGTGCATATTTGAAATTGTAAAATACAAGTTGGTGTCTTTCTTTTTTTTATCTGACCTTAGATGTTTATTGTATCAAAAGCTTGTATTTTACAATTTCAAATACGTACAACCACGAGCACGAATGCAGCAGCTCTTTAGAGAAAACATACCTACAACTTTCTTCGTATGCTTCTAACGTTCTTTGCCGATTGTCAGCGTTGTTTAGAACATTACCTGCATCAATTTTAGCTAATGTCTACCCTAAGAATTAGCGATTATGCATAAGCGTAAGCATCTACCAAACAAAAAATAGTACATATCATGTTACTTTACACTAAGAAATTATAAAAGCATTTTTGTTAATTCTACCTATGCTATTTCTTTGTAAAAAGAACAAAACACAAGGCGTGTTGTATAATGTTATCGAAAATACCAACGTACCTCCAAGTCATCAATTAACCGGTACTTTCCAACTCCTTGTGTACCAGTCACAGGCTTTCTCGAACTCTGTTAGGTTATCATACATTTCTCTAATAACCAGAATGAATCACTCAACTTTTCTTTGTCGTCAAGTTCACTTGCTATTATCTTCTCTAGTGAACAGCTTGATTCAGGCACAATGTCTCCTCTGTCAGATTTCGAACACCAATCCTCTGGCACATTTTCTTTTTGAAGCTCTTTATTTTTTTGCCGTTTCAATTTGTCAACTAGCAGCTTCACTCTCCCACATGGAGTTACTTTCATTAATGGTAACAAATACTTACATCTTATCGAAAATGAGTATTAACCGTTCGTATTTAGTTTCCTTGGAAGTTAGAACATAATTCCGCTTTAATTTATATGATTAAACGCATGCATCAAGGAATCTTCAACTTTATCAAATCTTATCATGTAGCTATGGTGCGTATTATCTAGACTGGTGATGTTGCTGCTGTAACCTGTTGTTGTGGGCACAATGGTCTCTCGACTTCCTTAATTTCCCACACTTCATCACATTCACTGTTTTACAGCGAAATGGTCTCTAGATTGGCGACGTTGCAGCCCGTGTTGCAGGGAGATTTGATAGCAGGCTACTGCAATTCAAGTTGGGCTGTTTCTTGCCATCTGTGAGAGCTCTCTCGGGTCATCATCTATGGCGTTCCTTTCTGCTGCTCCGAAAACGATTCTCTTCAAGTTAAGAAGAGAGGTAACATGTGCTTATTGAAACCTCCAGTTAAAGAAGTCACCATACTAGCCGACCTGAAGCTCCACAGTGACGTGTGGACGACAGAGCGAGCTGAGTTTTACCATCACATGATATTTAAATACTTGAGCCTTAAGAACATGCATTTTTTCTCTATATTTTCAACCAGTCTCTGCTCAATTGAAAACGGTGATCTCTATTCGGAATATGGACTAACAACGTACATGCAAGAACTAAAACGAAATTAAAATAGTGGAAGCGTTGCATGCACTCCACTTTAGGCCGAGCGAGGTGCTTGGCATGTGTTGGCCCAGGAAATCTTGTAACTAGCTCTGAGCAATTGTTACTTTATCTCCATGGATCAATTGAATAATGGAGTAGCCAGCAAGTGGTGTCTACGTATTTAATTCATTTAATGCTAAAGCGGTAAAATAGTTGAAATCTCAGGATTTTTGGGGCTCACTAAGAGGCTACATAAGAGGGATGAGTATCTTATATAAGCGATCAAACACACAAAAGTAAATTTACATCACACTGTTGTGGAGCATTTTTGCAATCCACGTCAAATGTATACAATTGATGCAACTCAATTTTTAAGATGAACCACTTAAACTTTGTGTTTCTTATTTATTTAACCTTTACCCGAGTTCCATTGAGGGTTGATTGTACTGGTCTTTTGACTTCCCAATTTTGAGTATTAACAAGAATACAAAAATTTGTGAATTAACATATTGTATATAGGAAATTTTTTTATAACTATAATCATAGGTTCAATCTAGAATTTCAGAATTTGATCCTAATTTTTGGTAGCAAACATATCAATATGATCAAAGCAAAATCTGTAGACAATGACATTTTAGAATGAACTCACCGGACACTACATAATTTACAAGTAAAATAAAATAAACAACTAAATAAAACACAAATTTATAACACTCACTCAAGAGAAGCAACAGTTAGATTTAGTAATTATAAACAAGTTAATTTAGAAGATGATGAGAGTGAAATTCATTAAAGTGTTAGAATGCCGTTTGATAATCTAGACATTAACATGGTTAAGCAAAATTTTGGTCAAAGTTTATAGAAGATATTGATAAACTGTTAGGATTACGTAAAATATCAAATGAAAAAATAATTTGAACAAAAGTATGGAACGTACTGTAGGAGGAGAAAAAGTATAACAATATTTAGAATTAAAAATTGAATATAACACAACACAAGAAAGTTTTGTAAACAGTATTCCGATCCAGTGAAAGTGATAATTCTTAAATTAAATTAAATTAAAAGAGCGGAGTGGAATTAGAGATTCGCCAAAGCACTATTTCCATTCCTACTTTTTCGATAGATCATCAAATAATAAACAACTACAAATATCTCTCTCACACTCCTTCACGCCTCTACTTCGATCTCACCGATCTCTCTCTCCCTCTCCGAAACCTAAACCTCCAACTGAGAAGGAGAAGAAGGAGAAGAAGAAGATGGCGCCGCCAGTGGCAGCGGCAGCGGATGGTCAAGTCCAAGGAGGACAGCAGCAAGGAAGAGGCGGAGGGTTTGGTCAGAGCATCACTGGAATCATACGGATGGCTGTGTTTTGGTACTTCGCTTCCAAATTCTTTTCTCCCAAGAAGGCTCCTTCTGACCCCTCTCAGCTCAGCTCCAATCTCTTCCAAAAGGCTGAACCCCTGGTCTGCATCTCTCTCTCCATCTCTCTTTGTATTTATTCTTCTAAAAAAAAGATCTCTCTTTGTTTTCACCCATCAATTTCAAGTTCTGGCTTTGTTTCCTCAAGAAATTTACAAATTGAAGTTAATATTCATTACTTGGTGGTTGTATCAGATACATATTTGTAGCAGCCACGAGATATGTGTGTGTGTGTGTCCGTGTCTGTGTATGGACGTTTGAAGTGGAAAGGAAATGAACACATACGTTATGATTGTAGAACCAAAGTGGATATACAGGGAAAGATATACACCGAATGAAAGTTTTAGTCTTGGTGATTGGTTATGGAAAAGAGAGCATTTTGGGTTTAAATCTTTGACAGTTAAAAGGGTTAAGTCAATACTGCGGCTAAGTGTTATTCTTTTCTGGAGTATGCCTGATTTTGCCTTAATACTATTGTTACTTTTCTTATTATTAGAATTAAATTTATTGTAATTTATGTATTCTCCTCAGGATATGTGGTTGTATATTTCCGAACGCGAGAAGTTCAATGAATTCGGCAGTGAACGTGAACTTGTGTGGCATGAAACTAATATCCCGTATGCTGTCTGGGGGCCAGAGAGTACCCGGACTCTGTCTACGAAGTACTATCCATCTGAGGTATTACTTTTAAACTTCTGTAAATTTGACACGGTCCATGTGTTTTCTCATGTACTAGTATTTGGTAGGCTGCCAAATTCAAAGGTATAAGTAGAAATATTTCTTCTTTCAGGCCTTAAAGCACAATGGAAGTCTCTATGCTCATGTTTTCTTTGCACGCTCTGGATACCCTCCAGACCCAACTGATCCGGAATATCAGCCTCTTGCTGCATTTGGAAAGACACACTGTAAGATTGTCTCCTAGAGTTCATTTGTTCATTTTCTTTTCAAATTCTTCCATCTCATCATGAATAAGTTAATTTCTCTTTTTGTTGCTGTCAGCTATTGTGACACACCTGCCAAAGTCGAAAGCTGATAAAAAGAGGAGTTTGCTGGGGGGCTCAAAAGATTCTGATGAGAAGGAACCACTTGTTGAGGTACGTTGTATTCTTTTCTATTTGCTATTTACAGAAATTGTTTGGATTACTGCTTGGTTCCAGTTGCTTCTCTTCTTGACCATTTTTTTATTTTTATTTTTTGCTCCCTCTAGTGCTATTGTTTGTTAGCAATAAAATTGTCTGTATCTCAAATAAAAAGAAACAAAAAGATTACTATTAATAAATGAAATTTGAATACTAGAATCTCTATCTATATGTTTGGTCTTTTTCTTGCGAGAAGAAACAGTAGTTTTATAAAGAATTACACCCTGAACAAGGGGTTGGGTGGGCTAGAAGAGTCCACCTGAAAGGGTTGAAAGTGATATTTGCTGGATTTTAATGGGAACTATGGATACGGATGTAGATATGGACTATTGAGTTCTAGACTTAATGGACCTACAAAGAGCTTCAACTGTTGGCTTTATATCATGGTTGGTTGCTAATTTAAAAGTTTTTTGGTATAGGTCACTGTCTGAGTCCTCTTTCTCACTTAAAAGTGGTTTTGAACTATGGAGATTGGAACATTGTGGACCCAGGGGGGTGGGGAGGAATATTTTTTAATAGTTCAAGGCTAGAAGGTTGGTGATATTCGATCAAGGGAGTCGGATACTGTGGCTGTTGGTGGGGTGATTGGGAGAATGAAGAATAGCCTAATTTGTATCTGAAATCTTACAATTACTTCAAGTTTGGTGTCGATTGGTCCTTGACCAAGTTCTTTGTATCTTTGTCTTGGTTTTCAATATATTTGTATTTAAAAAAGAAAAAAAAAGAAATAGAGAAGTTAGAACAGCAACTTCAAATTCTCATGATAAGAAACATGAGTTTCTGTCCTTTTTTTCTTCTTCTAAAGTGCTATGGTTATTTATCCTGATGAAATTTATCTTGGTTACTCTAGGTAGTTGATGATACTCAAGGTGATTCTGAAGATGATGGTCCTGTGGAGTGGGTATCATATTGGAAACCAAATATTACTATTAATTTGGTCGATGATTTTACACGGTAAGCTTTCTGAGTATGATGCAACTGTAAGGTTTTGCAAGTTCTTGACAGAATATCTTATTTAGAAGAACTTGCTTCCGAATTCGAAAGTTAAGATATTGTAGGCTAATTTCAATGGTATTTCATTTTGCCAAGTTCCCAAAATAAACTATTTATAAAATTGCAATTGGTGTATTATATTTTAAAGAGAAAATGTGCTTATTTCATATTGCTAGCATTTCTTTCTCCCACGTACAAGCATATTTTTCTCAAATGAATTTTCCATTTTTTTGACTTTATTTTTTCCTCTGCAGGTACCCTCATAATGCTGTTCCACCTAATGTTGCCCCTTGTATCCTTCTAATTTGCCATACTGTCTTTCATAGCCATACTTTATGGTCTTTTATGAAATTTGTTTGGTGAAATATCTGTATTGGAATGTTTGTTAATGCAACAGTTCGTTGCATTACATGTTTCTGTGGCGTATACTAATTTGACTGTGAAGTACGTTGTGTTTGTCTATGTGCATGTAAGTATACTCACCAACAAATATTGGCATATTGTAGAATCTAGTGCTGTACACTTTCCCCTATTAATTTGGTTGCTGGTGATGGGGATCGATTGGACTACACCATATCATTGAAATTTCTGCATGATTGGTTTCATGATAACACATTTTAGTTCTGGACATTGGCTGAATAATATGTTTCCCTTATTCATTGTGTCTAACTACATGCTACAACAAAGTTATGCCTGGTGGTTAACAGATACCAGTTAAAAACATCTTAGTTTTCTGCCACTGCACAAAAACTAGACACGTACCAACATTATAATTTTCTTCTGTTTTTTTATTCATTCATTTCTGTTTTTGGTTTGCTTTCTGAGTTTCATGTTTTTATGACAAATTACAGCTCCCAATATATATTAAATCCCTGCAGGGGGATGAGGGTTTTAGATGTGAAATAAAAATTGTATTCTTGGTGGTTGTATGCATAGGTATGGTGCTTTTCAGTATGGAAAAAAATAATTTGGAATTTGTGTTTTTATTGTTAACATCGTCGATTGAAAATATGTGATCTTCATAAGTTCTTTGATTTATGTTTGTCACCTTTGTCTTTTGGTTGTAGCAAGCATTAACTTGACTAAAATGTGGGGTGTCTGAGGTAAAATATCCTAAGACTGGAGCTTTGGTTTTCTTAACTTTAGATTGGCAGACTTGAATGTTGAGCCTAGTTCAGGGGACTACTTTCCAACCATTTTCTTCAATGAATTTTGGTTACTTCGAGATAAGTTGATACCAATTAATGAGACGGTGAAAGAATTACCTCTAAATCTGGAGATAGGTCCCATAAGCATGACCAAATGGCAACTATTCCTGCAGATTGATCAGTCTTTCCAGATTCACCGTAGTTATGGAAGCATGCTCGAGGGTGAGGCTGATGAACTGAAGGTATTGCTTATTTTTGTTACTGTAGGAGATTTCTGGCATTTGCCTTTAATAAACTCAGTTATCAGATTTTGATATACTTCCTACAGTGCTTGAAAAATGGTAAATCAGATTATTGTTTTGGTCGATAAAAAAATTGGGGAGTTCAAAAAACAAACAAAAGATATGCAATGTATTGTAATATAAGCATTGTATGTGTCTTCATCCTCTTTCCTATGCACTGATGTGGAATTCTGGGTTTCATATGGATCTTAGTGATGAGGAAACTGGGGGAGTTTCCTTTCTTTTTTTTTTTTTTTTTTTTAATCACAATTAGTGTTAAACTGCATCCTTCTAGGCAATCTTGGAAGAACTGGAAGTTGGATTTTTCAGGGGCATTTCTTGTAAATCTTACTTATGAAGGTTCTTTGCTAATGGGAGGGTGCTGAGAGTGAAGATAATTTGTTTCTGCACTGCCTTGGCTGTTTTGTGCTTCTGGTTTAGGCGGTTTTGGTAGCCAAATTTGAGCTGGGTTGTTCCAGGATTGTGTGGCTTTGTAATGCAAGATGCATAAGTTATTTTGGAGGGAGGGGTGTGGTTCTGGGGATATGTGCTGTAGTGTTATTGTTTTTCATGAATCTTGCTGCTTGAGGACGAATTTGTGATATTTATTGGTTTTCTTGTTTTTTCAAATGCTAATTGATTTATTATGCATTCCAGAGAGTATTCTTGGAAGGAAACCCCTACCTCCTTGTAATCACAATGGTTGTTTCTTTACTTCATTCAGTGTTTGACTTCTTGGCATTCAAGAATGGTAAGTATAGTTCTTTTTTGTCTTTGCTTGCTTAAAAACATATTGAGGATATGTCATGGATTTTTAGTCTAATTTTTCTTTCTCTGCAGATATTCAATTCTGGAACAAAAATAAATCTATGGAAGGACTATCTGCAAAGTCTGTTATTGTGAGCTTCATATGTCAGCTCATTGTCTTCCTCTATCTACTTGATAATGATACTTCATGGATGATACTTGCAAGTTCTGGAATTGGCTGCTGCATTGAGTTTTGGAAAATTGGGAAGGCGATGCACATAGAGGTATCGGATTAAATTTGCATAATGTCACAGAAGTGATTAGGCTAAATAAATCACCTCACTTTGTTTTTTGTATTGTTTCTCCTCATTTTTTGACATTCTAGCTACTCTTTTGGAGTTATGCTCATGAGTTTGGAATGTGCGTGTAGAACGTTTGTTTGCATCTTTTAAATTTATTCCTGCAAAAGATCAGGAATCCTCTATACGTTTGAAACTCTGCAGATTTGAAACTCAGTGACATAACAAAGCTATTTTAAATAATGATCCTGATCTCTGGCTTATAAGCTTAATATTAGTGTCTTTTCCATCTCCAGATTGATAGAACCGGGAGGATACCTAAGTTGAGGTTCCGAGACCGTGAGTCATATGCAGGGAATAGGACAAAAGAATATGATGATATGGCAATGAAGTATTTGTCATATGTGCTCTTCTTCCTTGTTGCATGCTCTGCTATTTACTCGCTTAAGTATGAGCGTCACAAGAGCTGGTATTCTTGGATTCTGTCTTCACTCACAAGCTGTGTCTACATGTTTGGTAAGTTCTTGGTTCCCCCCCATTGTTTTTATATGCTAATATTTCTCATTACTGTAGTCGAAAATTGCACAACTTGGTCATCAGTTTAAACCATTTCAGTACTCTGTATGATTGTATCAAAGACGGTATGAGGGACCTCATATTGAGGCTGCACTAATCACTATAATTTATAACTGTATTTCAGGATAGCTTTATATTTTTCACTCTCCAGTGAGAATTAAGTTAGTACTACCATTTTCATTAACTTTGGTAACCCTGGTTTAATTGACTTTGAAAAGAGTCTGCACTTCATAATAATGAGTTGACGACGTAAATGTCAATCTTCCTATATTGCATATATTGGTCGTTAGTCTTATTTGTGGTTAAAAATTGATGATTGCTGGTGTCACACTTGTTTTTAATACATTGTCACTGCAGGTTTTATTATGATGTGCCCTCAATTGTTCATTAACTATAAGCTGAAGTCAGTGGCTCATATGCCATGGAGGCAGATGACATACAAGTTCCTCAACACCATCATTGATGATCTATTTGCCTTCGTCATAAAAATGCCAATGCTACATCGCCTTTCGGTCTTCCGTGATGGTGAGTTGTGGTTTATTTTCTGCAGTAGTCATATACCATAAAATCTGTGCTCTTTTTTGGTCCATAACCTGTGTTTGCGATTACATTGTTACCTTGTTGAAATTTGAGTGAGCTAGTAAACATTGGTGGCAGAATCCTGTTTAGGTTACCATCATGTTGATATGTCAAACAGTGTGACGTAGCTCATAAAAAATAGTTCATCCTTAAAAGCTCTGTGTGGGACTGAAAACCCAAACAACCCGTAATCTTCTTGTTTGGGAAGCAGTGTGCAGATGCTTAGTTATGATATTTGAAATGCTGTTAAGATTAATCTTTGGAGGGTAAACTGTCAGTGATTTGCATTTGTGTTCTGGATTCTCCTTTTGTAAAACACTGCTACTAAGCTAGAAATTTGTGTCTGGCTTTTTCTTTCTCAAGTTCGAGTGCCGGGAACACAGCGCGGTAATACCCACTGTAATAATAAAATTAGTTGGACACTTGAAAAAAAAAAAAAGTTTTCCACTTGGTGATACACTTGGTGGACTGGGCTGTATTCCTGGCACACTGAAAAATTTCTACTCAAGTTCGCCCATTCTTGCGCCTAGGTTAGCGTGTTACATTTAAGCGACTCTCTTATTCTGAATGCTTATTTGAAAGTAGTACGAGAGTAGCTGATTCTTTGTTTGTTTGAATGCTGGTTGGACTTTGGTTCGTATATTTATCTCCCCGTTTTACTGATTTTCATTCTTGGCTGGCAGATGTCATATTTCTGATATACGTATACCAGAGATGGGTCTACCCAGTGGACAAGAAGCGTGTCAATGAATTTGGTTTCAGTGGTGACGATGAGGTCACGGGTGGTGCAGAGGTCACGGATGGTGCAGATGTCACTGCTGTTAAGGAAGAAGAAGAGAAGAAAACCAAATAAGCTGTGATGTTTTATAGATGATTTCGGTTTTGTACAACGAATTGTAACTCAATTAGGGTAAACATTATTCTCTAAATCTTGTTTTCTCCTTTTGGGTTTACGTATTTAAGTTAGGTCTTGTTTTAGTAAAGGTTTGGTTGCAGGCCTTGGCCGGTAGGGTAAGCTGTTCCGAGTAGGTGATCATATTTTGGTCTGGTTGGAGGGAGTGTTCTAACTTGGTCCTTTGTTTGAGCATGTTCACTTTTCTGTCCCATTGATAATGCCACATTTTGAAATTTCATTTTTTTCTGTAATATTTTTCTTACTGGCTCTGCATAGAGTAGTGGAGCATGAAATATTTCATCAATTTGGCGACATGACTATTAGGTTGATAGGCAAGTTGAATTATTCGATTTTAATTGTACTTTTCGCCGTTTAGTACATTAGTCTAGTGGTATTCTTCTTAATTTGTAAGTGAAAGGTTTTAGGTTCCATTCTCATTGAAGGTGAATTTGAACCACATTATTGATAGCTCTATGTGAGGCTAAGCTCACCTTCTTCTCGATAATATTGTTTGTTAAAAAAAAAAAAAAATTGTACTTTTCAAATCCTTTAGGGTTGCTTATTTTTATGCCATCTTCAACCAAGGGTTAGTCAGATGGCTTGTTTTAGCCCTCTGGTCCTCTAAGATATTAATATTTTAATGAACAGTACAATGTCATATTTGTCTCCATCTCCAACCAAGGGCCAAAGCACCATAGGGTTTGTTTTAGCCTTGTCACAAAAAACTATCTTCAACTGAGGGTTATAGGGCTAAACATAATTTATTATTGAAAAAATATTGAAGGAAATTTTTGAAAATTTGAAAGAAATATTGCAGATGAAGGAAATATTGAAAAAAATATTGAAGGAAATTGTTGAAAAATTGATAGAAACATTGTAGATGAAGGAAATATTGCAGATGAAGTGAAGAATTGAAATAGCTTCACCATATATATAGAAGAAAAAAAAGGTTTAAATTCAAAAAAAAAAAAAAAAAAAAAAAGGAATAAAACGGCTAGCTGCAGTCAGCTAGCCGTTGTATTCAAATTTTTTCATACTATTTGTGTCGGTTATAACCGACGCTATTGCAATTCAAATTACTATTCATGTCAGTTATAATCGACATGAATAGTAATTAATAAAAAATATTCATGCCTAGCCGTAATATTTAAATCACTATTCGTGTTGGTTATAACCGACACTATTGAAATAATCTAAATTATTCTTATCAGTTATAACCAACAGGAAATCCGACACATTTAAGGCCATCTCCAACCGAGGACTGGCCAGAGGGCTCGTTTTAGCCATCTGGCTCTCCAAGATTCTCCAAGATATTAATATTTTAATGAACATAACATGACCATATTTGCCTCTGTCTCCAACTGAGGGCTAGAGGGCTTGTTTTAGCCATGTCACAAAAAACCGTCTCCAACCGAGGGGCAAAGGACCATAAGGCCAAACATAGTTTATTATTTAAAAACTACAACTTAAATGTTGTTTAAGTTTCATGTTGTTAAATGTTTTTTTTTATATTGTATAATTTTTATGTTGGTTAATGTTATTAATATTGTTTAATGTTGTTTCACTTTACTTAATTTAATTTAATGTTGTATAATGGCTTAGGAGGTTATAGAAAAAAATAGAATTAAAAAAAATACAAAACAAATTTTGTGAAATAGAAGTTATAGGAAAAAAAAAATAGAATTTAAAATAAAAGGAAACAAATTTTGTGAAATAGAAGTTATAGGAAAAAATGAAATTTAAAAAAAAATGAAACAAATTTGTAAAATAAAAGTTATAGGAAAAAAATAGAATTAAAAAAAATATATGAAAAGAAAAATAGAAGTTATAGGAAAATTTTTGTAAATAAAAAATAATAATAAAACTTCCTATCAGTTATAACCGACAGGAAATCCAACATAAGCAAAAAATAGATAGCCAGCCCTCTAGCCCTTTTCGATTTCGTGGGGCCCTCTCAGATTCCAGAGCCCTCTGGCCTAGCCCTCGGTTGGAGACGGTTTTCGGGCTATTTTCGACCCTTTGGCCTTCTGGACCCTTCAGTTGGAGATGGCCTAAAAAAATTATGGTCAGCCTGGGGCTGGCTGGAAGGGGCCAACCCTCTAGCCCTTGGGCCCTTTCAGATTCCGTGGGGCCCATGAGCCCTCTGGCCTAGCCCTCGGTTGAAGACGATTTTCGAGCTATTTTTGACCCTCTGGCCCTCTAAACCCTTCAGTTGAAGATGACCTTATCTGCTGTCGGACTACCATGTATCGGTTTTTAGAGCATCGTCGGCATGTCGTGTTGGGAACTCCAATTATTATTTTTATCCAATCTGAAAATTTTGAAAACCATTCCTAGGGGGAAAAAAAACAATTTTAGACAAATTTGAATGTCCATGAAACCGTTTCTGTAAGTTCTTAATCCAAACTTTCTTTTTCACAGTTGTAATTTATATTTTCCATTTTCAAATTGCTAACAAATATAAATCAAAATTCCCTTTCTTGGAACCTAAAAACCCCTTCATCTTTGGAAAGGTTTCCTGTCGGATCCTTTTCCTGGGGATCCTAAGGATTCTGTGATCGTGATCGTTCATCGTACATGGTCAGTTTTCGTTAGGTACTATTTATATTTAACTTTAAATTTTAAATTTTGAAATGATTTTTTACCGCACAATGTATGATAAACGGTCACGAACCGAACGAAATTCCTTGGATCCACCAAAAACCCCCATCTTTAACCCCTTCATTTCCTACTCCCATCCCATCACTAGTAAATTCCTTGGATCCACCAAAAACCCCCATCCAAAGTAAGATTATGATTTATATGATGAGTATGCGACACTTATCATATTTTTCATATCGTATTTCTACCTATTCTCTAGTAAGAGTATAACTCACCTACACATATAAATCTCATCTTTACTAGAGAGGTGTGATGCAAACATGGTGTGAAAAATGGGATAAGAGTAGCATTTTTGTTGTACAATTAGCCAAGGAAAAAAGAAACAACATAGCGATTCAAAAACGAAACCACAACAAACCAACCTAGTCAATTAACTCATCCAATTCAAATATCCAAATATCACCACAAAGACAAGTTCAATCTACTTAACAAAAGAATAAAGAAGAATTTACATAGGAAGTTACATATTACAAAATAAATTATGTACAACCAAACCCAAACTCGACAAACATTCCAACAGAATCCCTGCCCTCCATCTGAGAGATGCGAATACGAACATCCGAGTACGTGCCAGACGAGCTTTCAGTAGTTATCTTGCATCTCTTCATCCGGCAAAATCATGGTCAGCAGAGAATACTTGACTCGTAGAGATATTTTACCATTCTCAGCGATAAGCCTTGCCCCCGACACAACCCAATACCCAGGTGAATCCTGCGGTCCTCTTGTCATTTCGGTCGTATCCACAAACCTCAATAGTTTAGGTGTCTGTGTTGGCACTGGAGGCCCCCAGGATACACAGCCGAGTTTATGTTCACATCAGCAGGCTGAGGAGGTGGCTTCTTAGCACTCGAGAAACGGGTGCTAATAAGGGTTGAAATTAATCCAGATTTCTGCGCCAAGCCGGGGGAACCATCCCACTCAGCCTGTCTAACATTAGTCGCACCTATTACTTTAGAAAAATGAAGCCGTAAAAATAAAACTTTCTTCAGGCCAGAGTCTCCAACTTCAAATTGAGCGCCAGTGACAACGGACAAATCATCATTAGCCTCAACAGGAGCTGTGCAGACATGAGAGAAGCTCTTCCATTGAACCTTTTCGAAGTATCTACGGTCTGATGAAAGTCGAGAGATATTTCCATTCACTGCATCCTGGAGCTGGAAGGTCTTTGGCAGCGTAGAGAGATGCTGCAGGTGAATTGCCAAGCAGTTGCTTCTTTTTCCCTCCAAATACAACCGGAGGCCAGTCACCGGCTTCTTACCCACATCAACCTATTATGTAATTCATCAAAAATCAATCACCATGATGCTAACTAAATGCATAATAAACCATAATCTACCACCATAAGAACTCTGCAATGTCATTTCCTGTAAATTATTTAAACACATTTTCCCGTATCATAAGGAGATAGGGAGGGGGGAAGAGACTAACCGCAACACTCAAGTTTTTGGTATTTTAACTATGAATATGCATTGTTGAGAGAGTGAGGGTTTAGGCCTAAATAGCTGCTAATAGTGTAGAGGAATCACCAGTAAAATATCATAATCAAGCTTATGCTAACAGAAAATAATGATCATGCATTCCCTAAATTGTTTGTGAATGCTTAATGCTTAATCTATCGTCTTTTCAGTCAACTTTAACTAATGGAAAATCCAGGACAATACATCCATTTTTACATGCATTATTAGGACAAAGATCCAAAGAAAACACAGTAAGCTTTTCTATCTTTAAGAAAACACAATACTAATACCATTACCGGATTTTTGTTAACATAAAGCTTAGGACCCATGAAGCTAAACTGTAAAGATGCACCGCTTTGCTGCTGCCTCTGAGGACCAAGAGCAAGCTCACCAAACACCGGTGCCCATTGCCTTGGAAGTTGAAACTCCAAAAATTGATGCAGCTCTTCAATTGGCGGTTTATCTGTGCTTGATGAAAATTGGAAAAGGTAAAACACTTGTACTACATTTTCCTTTATTTCTTGTATGTTTGTACAAAAAATTAAACAGAAATTTGAGAGAAATTTGGATTAGTATGAAAATGGTAGATTGTCGATTTGCTACTAAGAACCAGGAGAAAATATAAGATAAAGAATCTACCTCTACAGAATTGGATGTTTATACATTTCTGGGATGGAGTCACTAACATAGGTTTAACCTTTATTCTGAAGAAACTCGGCAAATCACAGGAATAAAAATCCAAACACTCACTATTATTTATGTCATTCTCTAGAAAGTGCATTCACTAAGATAGATAGTCTTATGTAAAGCATGCTGTTGACAAAATTATGAATACAAAAGCTATTCTGTTATCACAGCTATCCAAGCTTAAGCTGTCAGGAGGAGAACCCGACAAAGCACATGGAGATTACCACAAAACAGGACACCTACATACTCGCCCTCCAATGAGTATTGGATTCAGATGTACCTCACAAAAAAGGACACCTTCATCGCCCTCAAATGAGTACTGGATTCAGATACAACTCACAAAAAAGGGCATTATAAAAGCTAAGCATAACTAGGAGAATTTTGAAACTGTAGGGCACAAGTAAATTTCATAAAAAGCCTGTTGTGTTGTGTCATATTGGATATTATTTTCAGAGGATATTAGTTCCCTCGGCAAGCAATTAGAACTTTATAAATAAATTAATTTGCTAAGGAAAGTAGGATTCAGCTTACAACGAAGATAGAGATTAATAGCATGGCTCAAAAATCCACTCCCATGTATCCCACTCAGTAAGGATTGGATAGGAACTAATGACATAGAGATCACATCAGGTTCAGTCTGAACTGTTTGACACCAATCAACGTGAGGCAGATTTTTATACAAGCTTCCACCCTTCCGCTTGCACATGAATTTAATATCCTGAAACTGAATTACAAACCCAAGATTTAAGACATTAAACAAATGAGGCTAAGGACATCCCCTGCATAACTGCATACAGTTTTAACCTCTGCACGCTCCAAGATTTAAGATGCTGATGGTATTTGAATTTTATGGTTCTATAACCAGAAGCCGTTACCAACTAGAAGCAAGAAATTATATCAAAAAGCTTACAGCAAGAAAAGATAAGGACATCTAACATGTTATGGGTAAACCCAATATGAAAAATATGATTTTGGTAAGCACCACAACATGATGACAATGACAGCATTGTTACTGATACAGATGGTTACAGGAGTGTTCAATAACAATCAGAACCTGCAATGTACACTTGGTCTAAGTTGTACCAAGAAGGATCTTTGACCCAACAAAAGTCCAATTTAAAAAGAGATCTTTCTTATCTTTTCTCACCTCTACAGTAGCATAAGAACTGGATGGGATATTATCCATGATAGCCCTTGACTCCTTGACTAACTGAAACAAATTAAAACAGAGGTTAAGTAAGCTATAGAATATGACATGATATAAATCTGGCATTATTTTCATTGTATGAAGGCACGGTAGCAAAAGAAATGCATCTGCTAAATCAAACCAATTCCATTATACATTCAATAGTGTTCTATATTGAGTCTCAGTAACATAATATGTTTGAAACTGTACTCAAATTTAAATTAAAACTTTAGTTTTAAGAAAATTATAATGAACAACCACAAAGAACCATCACAAAGTGACAAGAAACGACCTCTATAGTGAAATCACACATGAAAGCTATAAAAAAGAGAAATGGACAAAATTCACGAATACAATTTGACAGGTTTGAGCAGAGATCAACTTAATTAAGTCCAGGCACATAAACACGGTCCAAAATAAATTTCAAGAACCTTCTTACTGTTACAGGTGAAAAAAACAAAGGATGCACAAAACAATAGTCTGCATCTAAATTGATAAACAAAATGTAAATTGTACATCTTCCTCAACAGTGAAACACGAAAACCTGTAGCAATCCAATGATAGGAACAATCCTTTATTCCGGTTCTTTTTCAAGGATCATAGGTTTCCACTAGGGTTTCTGACAAAATGGTTTACATGACCTGCAGAAGCATTACTAGTAAAAGTGCTAGGTTTGCTCCTGAGTAAAACCTTCTGGCACAGAAACACTCCCTAAGTGGTTTCTTAGGAAGCACTTCCAAGAGAGTATGTAAATGCATGTGCGGTTTTAAAAGAAGTTTCTATGTGCTACAACCAAAAGCACGTTTGTTTGAATTGAGTGGTATTAACCGTAGCATAGGATCGAATTGTTCAAACCTTGTCTCTCTCATTCAACTTTGCGGAAGTGAGACTAGAGTGAGCAGTTGCATCTATATACATTTTATCAGCCATGTCCTTCAATTTTTTCTGAACATCAGCAGGTTGGAGAGGCGAGGAGTGCTGCTGCTTGGCATATATGGTATCCTTTCCACCCATTTTGATCCCAACGATGACATGTGTGCCATACTTGTCAATAAACCTGGAAAGAAAGAATGGATGAATGAAATGTTAAATGAAGAATGGATGAATGAAATGTTAAATGAGTCTGTTTGTTTGTTTTGTAAAGTCATGTGGTATGAGCATTCGATGGGAATGGGAGGATTAAGCAATAACCTAGCAAGTGCGGCGGGATCCCAGGAGGAGGGGACAGCTTGTTTGATATGGTCACACAAGGCAACCTGGGATTTATCGAGAGCAACGCTGTAGAGGGTGATGGAGACTCCATCAAAAGCAAGTGTTTTGGTGTTGGCAGCGTCCTTTTGCCATCCTCCTGTAAACTCAAAAGCTGTATTGAACTGCCCCGTTGGTATTTTACCTGACACACCCACTTCCTGGTTGAATTGCTCCGACATCTATAATCAATTAACAATTAATTAATTCTCACAAATTCTTATTAAGGGGGTGTATTTAATTGGATTTATAAATCCATGAATTTTGACGGAGTTTAATTGATTTGTAGAGTCCATGTAAAATTTTAGTAATCTTGGGAGAGATGTGAGATTTGTGAAAGCTTAACCTACACCACAAAATCTCTTCAATTTCCTCAAATTCCTAAACCTTTTAAAAGTGAATACACCGGAATGTTATAAATTTCTTCAAAATATTAATTGAATACAGGATTTTAATCAACTATCTTATAATCATGATTGAATACACATTAAATTTCAGAAAATCACTTAAAATACTAATTGAATACACCATATTTATTAAAAAATAAAATCACCAAAATTTCTAAGAATTTTAATAAACCGACTTAAAATCATGATTGAATAACCGTTAAATTTCATAAAATCACTGATTGAGTACCCTTATATTTATTAAAAAAATTAAAACACCTCATAACCCCAACTGAATACACACCCAATTTCGATTTTCAATTTCTAATTAAATCTCAAGTAAAATGGTGAATTAAACCTGTTGGAAGGAGAGGACGTCAGAGGCGAACCGCATGCGCTCGCCTTTGTCGCATTTGATGGACTTTGGGACATTGGGTATGCAAACGCCGCCTGCGCCCGGAACCGCAATCTCTCGAACTTGATCATCATCGATGACGATCAACCGACTATCAAGCCCTGACTGCTGCCTCTTGCAGTACTTGAGCTTCAAGTCCACGGTCAAATCATACCCCAACCCTATCGACTGTATTGCAAGCTCCGCCTCCGCCGCCGCCCTTCTCTTCCCACTCGTCCGACCGCTCATCTCTCTCTGTGTATTTTTCCCTCACTTTCTCATCAACCAAACACCTTTAGCAGGATGGATGGATGGATTGCCAAGCGAACCGGCGGCCGTCTTGTTCGTTTTTCTTCTCTTGGTTGCCTTCGTTTTATCAAAGACTGGTCAACACAGATACAAATATTATTACAACAATATAAAAATGCATTAGTTATTTATTGGTGGTGTTGTGCATTGTGTTCATGCATACAGGGTGGGCCCCGTGGGGGCGGGGGTGGGTGGCGTTTGATTGGGTGGAGGCTAGACTAGAGGCACCGGTATGGTTTTTGAGAGAGCAAGTCAAATGTTTTGTGCTGGCGTCTGCTTCTGGGAAGATGCTGCTGCAGCCCAATTAGCTGCCTTTGGAGTTTTCGAGCAGGTCTATCGTTTTAGTAGAAGGAAAGACCATTCATATGTCAAATCTTGGTAAATCAAATTTCTCAAAAGAGAATAATTGAAGGTAGAAAAAAGTTTCAACTGGTATATCAATCTTACGTGAATTGACATATGAAAGCATCTTTAAAGTAAATGTTAAATTTTTTATTTTTATTTTTGTCAAACGATAAATTTTGTTAGATTAGGTGTTAGATTAGTTACCGATAGAGTTCAAACCTATGATATCATGCAAGAGCGCAACACTTTTCCACTACTATGGTAAAGAGCCACTTACTAAGTAGATGTCAAATTTAAACATTAATATGATATTTGATGGCTTATGTAGCAATTTAACATTTTTTTTACAATTTTTTGCTCTACCTGATATATTAAATAATAATGTTATTCTATATTTTATTTTTATCTTTTTTTAGGGTTCAATTATTGAGATAACCAATCAAATACTTATAACACACAAAATGTAGGTCCAAATCATCTCTAATGAATGTATTTTGGGATGAGAAAAATGGAATTTTGGGTTTAGGGTAGGTATTTATGTCTTTTACCCATCCATTTGTTCTCTAATCCATTAAAAATTAATTTTCTCAACAATTTTTTTGTTCAAATTTTGAATTTTTACATCGAAATGTTTGCAAAAATAAAACAAGATAGATTTTACAAAAAAACTAAATTCAAAATTATTAGAAAAAAAAAATCAACAAAATGCAAAATCTAACCAATTATAAAGTTGAGGGTGGGAATTATCGGTCCCATCCTGTTAGATGTAAATACAAGACTAAAATTTGGAATTTCCCACTCTTAGCTTCGAGATAGCCTTGTCCTGGACTCTTGTCTTTTTCCTACCATGCTTCCACCCTTTTCCCCCCATATATTTCTCATGGCTCCGCACCTGCTTTCTATGCTCTAGGAGACTTATTTGTTATCCCACTTGCGACTAACGAACATTTATCATTTAAATGGAAATTGTTTGTTCTTTTTATCATCATCTAATTTTTTTGAATTTGGAAGTCATTTAGTCATTTATGTGTGTTAAACCAATAAATTGTTTTGGTAACAAGTAGCATTTTCATGATAAACCGTCAATTTGTTTTTATGCATATGAATAGATAAAAGATCTCTAAATTAAATAATTTTTGGATATATGATCTTTATATAATAATAAAGATAATAAATGATTGTTGGGATGGAGGACATAAGCATTATCCTTCACGTAGACCATCTCTAACCTTTGACTTAAAACCTAAAATTTTTAACCCATCAAATTTAGGTTTTAACTCACAAACAGTTTTTATGTTCCAACTCTTTGGATTAAATTTTTAGCCCAAGATTATTAAATAATGAATTCAGGATAATATTTTTTTTCTTAAAGTAACTTTAAAAAAAAAAAAATTTATGTAGACCATCCAAATTTAATTTTATGAACATTTTAACCTAAAAATATTTAGATTCCAATAATACCAAAAAAATCACTAAATTGACACCATAAAACTCGTGGAACACAATGAAAGAATATGAAACACATGAAAGAATTTTTTTATATAATTATTTTAGCAGTTGATTTAAAATTTGGACTATTAGATCTTTTTTATTACCATTGGATTTGATAATATTAGACCTTAACCGTTGGATTCAGTGAATTTATAAATATAAAAAAAAATACACATATATAATGGCCCAACCCACTAATCCAGGGAGAATCTTGGCCTAAATTTGTCCCTAATGAGTTTTAATTTTGGATTAACTCATATTTGACCCAATAGTTAGCAAATTGGGTAGGTTTACAAGCTAAAATTTGAGTTTTACTTCAATGATTAGAGTTTGGTATGACTCAATAAAAAAATGAAGCCCAAGAAAAGTTAAATAGCCCATTATTTTTTAAAACAGAAAAAACATAAACATGTGTTAAATTCCATTGGACAAAATCTAAAACTGAGTAATCACTAATTAGTGTTCAAGTATTATCATAACTTTCTTTGCAGAAGCATGTTCAAGAAATTTGTTTGTGTAAATTGTCTTATTTGCAATGCTAGTAGTTTTTTTTTTTTTGAAGATTTATGAAACTCAAGTGGAGTATCCAGAAGTCTACTCACTTAATCGTAGTGTACTTTTTTCTCAACAATCAGGATTATTTTGTCTCGTTAGATTTTTGTTGCCTTCTAGTGCGTTTTAAATACGTTTAGTTTTTATTTAGGTGATGCTTTCCATACACCTATTTTTATCTTACACATACTCCTATCAATTTGTACCCTTCGAATCTAATAAATTCAAAAAGATTAATAGACAAAAATTAACCACTACTCTTTTGACTTAATTCATCTTCTCACTTTTTTCCTTAGTTTATGAGTTTTGTCTTGCCTTGAGTTTTACCACATTCAGGTTTTGTAAAGTTTACTTCTATATGCATTTTTTCGGTTTGTTTTGAGACTCACCTTTACTCAATGTGCTAATTAGATGAGATGACTTCATCAATTGCGTATACATTATTCAAGAAAATCTGATGCTAAAACTACTTGAGTAATTACACATTCAAAATAAATGTTATGGTATTACTGCCGTCTCTTCTTCAGCAAAATAGCCCATAACAGTAATAGTAGTATTACTTTGATAAGATTTTAGGGATCCTCAAATCAAGTTTGTTTATTGCATATTGTACAATTAGTTTTTATCACGTATTATTTATATTCAATGTTAAATAAAAAAAATTTACAATAATTTCTAATTTCTCGATATACGATAAACTGACGTGATTGGATGATGCTCTTTCTTACTTTGACAAGTGAAAGAAGAGTAACTTAAATGACAAGATCGTAATAATAAAATAAGAAGGTGGATAAAACCTTCCACATGGCAATGAAGGTGGTCAGCGTTCCAAGTTTGACTATTGACCATTTCTCTGTCTGACCGAAGTTTCACAAGTCTGAGCGAGAGCGAGAGAGAGAGAGGGGACTAGACGGCTGCTGAAATTCGTCTCCTATGATGAATTTGAGTGCGCTGCTCTACCAAATTCTTATGCATTTATTTAATCTTGTTATTTCAAACTCTAAATATAATAAATTAAAACAACAGCCAAGGCTCGGCCTGCTTCTTTGGCTGCAGCCGCTGCTTCTACTTCTGGGCTTCGGCTTCTGCTTTTGCTTTTGCTTCTGCTGGCGGTGGTGGACTTTTTCTGAATTGGGGTTTCATCATCATCAATCACTTGTTCATCTATCAAAGTCCCAATCTCTGTCGTTGCGGTGGTGATCATTAGGAAATTAAGAAGATGGGAGCGGTTTGTTCCAAGAAGTCGAGGAGTACGAGCGTGAAGAGCGCCGGTTGGGATATCAATCGGCAACAAGTTCAAGTTGATCAGCCCAAGTCAAGCTTGAAGACCAGTGGCGGCGTCACTCAGTCCTCGCCTCAGACTCCGCGCACGGATGTGCATTTGCAGAAAGACAAAGAGGAACAGTTATCAGACAAGGAAGACAATCAGATTCAGATTGATAGAATTAATCCTCTTGCGTATGAGTCTGACGATGAATTCTACGACGGAATTCCGCGCTATCCCGCCTCCTTGTCTCAGAAATCCAGCTCCTTTCGCTCTAAGCAGGCCGCCACTAAGGTTACTTGTTCTTCCATTTCTCACACTCTGATATAATACTTACTATTTGTACTGTGTGTGTGAGTTGTAATATTGATTGCTTGCGTCTCTGCTGCCCCTTTTTCGGTATATAGTGAGTAGGGGTTAAATTTCCACTTGAAAATGGTGTTACTGCAAAAAATGCTGCAGGTTTCTGAGGTGAGTTCGCGTTTGGGCAGAGCTGGCAGTGCTGGCCTTGGAAAGGCAGTCCAGGTCTTGGACACACTCGGGAGCAGCATGACAAATTTGAATTCCGGCCCTGGTTTCGCTTCCGCAGCACCTGCCAAAGGCAATGAAATTGCAATCATTTCGTTTGAGATTGCCAACACTATTGTTAAGGGTTCCAATCTAATGCAATCCCTTTCCAAGCGATCTATGCGCCAGTTGAAAGAAATGGTGCTTGTTTCACAAGGTGTGCAGCATTTGGTGTCCAAAGATATGGATGAATTATTAAGGATTGTTGCAGCTGACAAAAGGTGGAAGCTCAATCTAGTGCCAAATTCTTACCATTTTATTTTTCTGCCGATAAGTGAGCTTTATTTTATAAATTTGTACAACTTTACCTTTGGTTTATAGGGAAGAACTACAAATTTTTTCGGGGGAGGTTGTTCGTTTTGGAAATCGATGCAAGGAGTCTCAGTGGCACAACTTGGACCGATATTTTGACAAGTACTATAGACTTGCCTTGCATTACTTATTTTAGGAATGCCGTTTTCATTTTTTGTATACCATGTCTTTACTTGGTGACGTCTTATTTTGCTCTACAGAATCAGCAGGGAACTTACCCCTCTGAAGTATCTGAAGGAGGATGCAGGTTCGTTGATGCAGCAACTGATGACTTTGGTCGTGTTTACTGCTGTAAGTATCATCTTGTTTGAATTTGAGTGGAACAGAGTTCTAAGAATATTCAGATTCGTAAATTGTTTCTTTGAGTGATCTTTCTTCAACTAGTTAATTGGATCCACGCTTTGACCCATATAAGTTGTTCTGCGAGTTTGGTTCTCCAAATAAAATGCCACTTTTCATCTGGTTGGTGGTTCATGGGAAAATATTTACTTGTGACTTCCTCCATGAGAAGACCTGTTGTATGTTGTCTTCACAATGGTGTGAGTTGTATAAATAGGAGGGGAA